CACGGATTCCCATTCACTGTCCGTGCCCAACCACCTGCTTAGCTGTGTGAGTAAATGCTGACAAAATCTCCTGGGAGGATGACCATAGATATGGTCCTATCTGCTAGCATTGGGTATTCAGCTTTCCAGGACAAGGCATGTCCTAGTTTTCTAGTATAGAGACAGTAGAAGGCTACAAGTACTTCAGATTACTTTACCCAAGTTATTATTTAAGTTTCTGCATCTATGAAAGCTGATATTCTGAGCACACTATGGGTAAATACTGAGATTCTGTTTCATGGGTATAAGTCTTGAAAGTAACTTGAAAATGGACAAATGTCCTCCATGGACTAGAGAGGGTTCACTGGGGCTGCCATCTGGATGAACAGACTCAAACCTGGAGAGTTCAAGAACCCACTCCCACCATGATAGAAAGGTCCCAGAGGCACACCTCCAAGAACAGGCAAAGTTGTGGTAAACCAGGAATAGACATCCCATAATATTTTCATCCCATGGAATTTAGCATCAAACCCCAGGACAGGAAATCGCTCTCCATCTTAAGAGGTCAGCTGCTAGGTGGTCCAGGCATAAAAGCAGAGAATAAAGTAACCTCAACCTCTAGATCACACTAGAATTGCTCTGTGTTTTTGCTTGTTGATGAAATAATCATGTTCAAAGTTTGGCTGGGTAGAACATCACTGACACACTTCAGTTCATGAGACATAAGCACACAATTCTTACGGTGTCCCAAAAAACTGTGCTGAGTACAGTTGAAAGAAGCCGCCTAAAGGAGATAACAGGACATGATATCCAAGTAGTCTGAGAACCCTGTCCAGGCAGGTAATAACCTGATTGCTCATAAACCAAAAAGATGGACAGTATGTTACACAGATCGGATCACAACAGCCCTGGAAATGCCAATGAGCTACTGGTACATATAAGGGTCCTTGTTTCCTAGAACTGGTCCAGGAGCCATGGGTCAGTGGAATTGAATAACACTTGGAATTTATGGTGCTTGTGTAGGATGGAATCCCTCCTTATACTTTGCAGCGAGAACCACCACCTCTGTGGAAAGTTGGAGGACCTAATGAATGTCCCAATATACTCATTTTGTAGAGGAGTTTGGACCAAGTATCTTATGCTAGGAAAAAAAAAACAAAAAACAAAAAAAAAAACAAAACAGGAATGAACATGGATCACAGGCACCAGATTTAATATCTATTCCTTCCGTACAGGGAAACTGGCCCTTTGCTCCCTGCAGGGGGCCACCTCCCTATAAATTGCCTCTTTGGAATTCCTGAAATAGGAGTGTCAAGTGATAGAAAACCCTCTAGGAAAATGCCTAAATGCTGGTGGCCAAGTAAAAAAAGGTAGGTTCATCAATAAATGATTGCACCAAGTACAGAGGCGCAAGGGGGAGATGTGTTTCCTCACCCTGGTGGTATGTTGATGAATATTTCACAACTGGCTTTCCACAGGAGGAAAAAATGCATGCACAAACACAGATGGGTATATTATAAATCTTACTGATAGAATCTGGGGCACACAGTTTGTGAATAATAATAAAATATACAATACTGTTATTATAAGTTCTATATAGTCAATTGATTCTCTTAGAATACTGTGCTTTTTTCAGGTTTATTGAGGTATAATTAACAAATAGACATTTTATGTATTTAAGGTGTAAAACTTTCATGTGCTTTTGCTAAACTCTGTACCTGTAGACAACCTAAGGTTGAAACACAGACACAATCTAACAAACGAAATTGAATCTCAATCTGCCAATTCTTCTCAATATATTTGTTGTCATTAAATACCATAGATGATCTACTGTTGAATGATTTCTCTCTCATACAAATTATATTCATCAAACTGGAACCATCCTCAGTTTTAAGCACTCTGAATTACAATAATCCAAAATTTTTAGTTGTTTTTTAGTTTTTTAATTTAAATTTGATTAGCCAACATATAGTACATGTAGTGTTGGTAATTCATCAGTTTTATATAATACCTACTGCTCATCACATCCCATGCCCTCCTTAATGTCCATCACCCAGTTACGCCATCCCCCCAACCCACCTCCCCTCCAACAACCCTCAGTTTGTTTCCTATAGTTAAAAGTCTCTCATGGCTTTTCTCCCTCTCTGATGACCTCCCACTTTGTTTTCCCTCCCTTCCCCTATGATCTTCTGTGCTCTTTCTTATATTCCATATATGAGTGAAGCCATATGATAACTGTCTTTCTCTGATTGACTTATTTCACTCCACATAACACCCTCCAGTTCCATCAATATCAATGTAAATGGTAAGATTTCCTCCTTTATAATGGCTAAGTAATATTCCACTGTATATATATACCACATTTTCTTTACCCACTCAATTACTGAAGGACATCTTGGCTCCTTCCATAGTTTGCCTATTATGCTGTGCCAACATTGCTGCTATAAACATTGGGGTACAGGTACCCTTTGGATCATTTCATTTGTATCTTTAGGGTAAATACCTAATAGTGCAATTGCTAGGTTGTAGGGTAGCTCTATTTTTAACGTCTTGCTGGACCTCCACACTGTTTTCCAGAGTGGCTGCCCCAGATTGCATTCCCACCAACAGTGCAGGAGGGTTCCCCTTTCTCCACTGTTTAGCTTTTTTTGTGTTTGAAGGGATTGCTTCTACATTACTATCTGCAAAATGCATGAATTGCCCAATTTAAGTTCATGTTAATCAAACTCATAATACCACTCGAGGGTAACATAAAATTTCTGTTACTAATATCTTTATATCATTTTTAAAATAACATGTTTTAAGTTAAAATACTTACCCCATTTTCCAGTTACATCTATAACTTTGGTGTAATTTTCTATTTCTTGTAGAATTCACTCTGAATTTTTATAATTCTCTCCCCAGCCATAGTGCCACTAAATCAGGCCACAAGTACATTTTTGATTAATAATTAGTTAAGCAAAAACATCACTCACGGGAAACCTCGGTGCCTCAGTTGCTTAGATATCTGCCTTCGGCTCAGGTCATGATCCCGGGGTCCTAGGATTGAGTCCTGCATCAGGCTCCTTGCTCAGCGAGGAGTCTGCTTCTCCCTCTGCCTGCCACTCCCACTGCTTGTGCGCACGCTCTCTCTCTCTCTGACAAATAAAATATTTTTAAAAATCACTCATTTCATCAATAATGAGTCTAGCTCTAATATAATATTATTCAATAAATGTCCTAAGTACAGGAAATCAAATCAAGCCCAAATCTGTAGCATTTGTGTCTTTTTTTTTTTTTTTTTTTTTTTTTGGTGTGAAATCTCCAATTATGGCCAACTTTGACCTACTGACATGACATCACTGAATTCAGACTTAGGAAGAAATAGGCAGCAGCATGCCTTTATATCATTTTCCTACCATATAGATGCAGGAAACATGAATGATCCCAAGAGTGTACCTGATAGTAAAATGCAGTGAAATAATTACAAAGTCATGAGCTGTAAACATTTCTTCCTTTTAAAAGTATAATTTATTTAATTCTGAATTTATATAATTTAATTGCCAGTAATGGCTGTTTTCAACAACCAGCTTACAAAATTCCTAAAAATGTAATGGTCTGCTTTTGGCGGGCTATGCGAGCTGACTCCACTACCCCACTCCTTACGCTGTACTCACCTCTTGGGTTCTCTTGTCTTCCTGTCTCAATTCAAGCTCTGCCATGCCTTTTTCTATTTATATAATTTTTCCCTATATAAATTAACATTTCTGAGGATGCCTGTTTGGTTGTCTTTTTTTTTTTTCTTTTTTTGGACATCTATATCAGGTGCTTTACAAAAAAGCTGACCACCCTCCATCCAGAAATTATTGAATTCTTGGTGAGACAACTGTGAGATGTCACACGACCCTCATCAAAGAGTTTAAGGAAGGGAAAACTAAGAACATGATCCAACATTAAAAGCTTAGAGGACTAAGAGTCTTAAACCTCTATTCATGGTGGCTACAACAGGGTATATTCAAACATGGCAGTATTTTTTTAATCTCAGACCCAACTGCTAAAGAATGACATTTTCATCATCCAGTTTTATCTCCATCTTCCCCTGCTGGATAGTATATATGGTTTCAGTTTTTCTTGCTATGGGTCAGTTAAAACCAACTTCATAATCCCAACTACTGCTTAATTAAACAAGAGGATATTCATAACCTTAAACCAAACAGATCCTGTTTATGACAGAACTTTGTTCATTTGAGGCAGTCATGGTCCAAATTGTAGGGACCCCAAACAATACTAGTGTCAAGATGTCCATGTTAGTTATTTCAGAACTTTGTAGACACTTCATCATCTGTGGCCAGAAATAATATGGGATTAAAATATTATCATATCATATCACACCATATTTATGGTCCCCAAGTATTGGCGACATACATACAGCAACAATCTCAGTTGGTCAAATGGGGAAGAAGTAGGGGAATCATCAGGGGCACTAGAAGCCAGGTTCTCAGTGTGGTAGAGCATTCCAGAAGAGTACAGCTCTGAGATGACCCACATGTGTGGTAGTTCAACAACGATGACAATAAACCATGTGCCAACCACTTGCTGGGTGCCAGACATGAGCAGTCTACGGAACTCTTCTCATCCTTGATGCCAGTGTGGCGGTGGTTGTGGGGCTGGTTATTATTAATAGTAATAGTTAAGAAACCGAAATACACAAATTTGCTCCTGGTGGCATTTGGCACATCGCGTGAATCATGAGCCTGGATTTGAACTTGGCAATGCCTAGCTCCAAAGCCAGCACTCTTAAACTGGCACCCAGCAAGGACTCTAGATCCTTGTAATGGACAGTTCCACACCTTAAGTGCGGTGCACCTGTTGTGGTGAGCCAAGAGGGAATAGTGACCCTCCCTATATCCGACCCTGATGGAATGGCCTGGCTTTGGTTTGCCTGTTGCCCACTGCTTATATGTTTCAAAAGAGTCTCTTTCTCTTGGCTGACACCTGCATATTACCCTGACAGGTGAAAAACATCAGGGGGAAAGAACACAATGGCGGAGTGGAGTGCCACAGTGGGGAAGAGGAAGTGCTCCCAAGATAGGCAAGTGGATGAGAAGCCCGTTCGCAAGAAAGGTAAACGCAGCTGTGACCGCTTGGTTTTAGGATTCTGTGGTGGGTTCTTTATGGGCAGTGTCATAATACAAATTATACCACCTTGTAAGTCATTTAATTCTTCTTTAAAATCAGACAATATTAATGCATATTTTTCAAATATATGAAGGAAATAAATACCACTGTACTAAAAAAAAACAAGCCTTTTGGGCAACTCCCTCAGGTCCCCTCCCTCCTTGGGAGCTTTGTACTATCACTTTGCTATTGCTCAATAAACCTTGCTTTTGTTGCCCACCAAAAAAATTAAATAAATAAATAAATAAATAAATACAATAAAAAACAAGTCTTTTATTTTTGATGATTATCTTCTAATTTTGGTCCATATGCATTTACCCTTTTTTGATAATTGCTACCAAATTTGTATACACCTAGCATTATATATTCTGCTTGTCATTGCATAATAATATTGTAAATATAACTGCATTGCTTAATTAGGTAAAGTCAGAACATTTTAGTTTGACCACACACATCTTTCCATATTGCTTTATAATAATCATTCTTCTTAAAGGATGCATATTATTATTCTAATATGTCCAATAGATAAAGCATTATTTACCTAAAAAATCTTGTAGTTGGATATTTAAGTTACAGAGTTTTGTTTTGCTACTTAGCTATTTTACATATATGTTTTATACATATAGAAAATATCTGTATTATATATATATGTATATATATATATAAAAGCATCCTTTAACATAACACGTGTCTACAGTTAGAATTATTATTTCCTCAGTGTTTATTCCTAAGAAATTTAAAATTTTGAGGCAAAGGGCATAAATATTTCATTTCCATTGGCCACTACAGAGACCTTAGTTTTTCATCGGAATAAAAGCGAAGCCACATAGAAGTTTTTGAGTGGAAGAGGGGGTGATCTAATTTATGGTATGACTAGAACACTCCAATTGCTGTACTGAAGATTATTTGGAAGCAGGAAATCAAGTTAAAGGCTATTGCAGAAATCTAAGCAAGAGATCTTGGTAGCTAGAACCCACTGGAAGCAGCTCCAAACCAAAAGATAACAACGGCCCTGGTGAGAAGGGGTTTGAGTCTATACACATTTTCAGTGTAAAGACAACAGTACGTTCCAGATAAATAGGATCTAACATGTGAAACAAAGAAATCAAGGATAATTGCAAAGTATCCACAAGGTTGATATTTCTGTCCACGGAGCTGAGAAACAACCTGGGTGAAACGAGCTGGGGAGGGGACCTCAGACATTCGGTTTAGAATCTGTTACATTTGATTTTTTTTGATTCGCTGATCAATTGATTTTTAGTGGAACAAAAGATGACACATCTCAAAATCAATGGCATCTCTAATTTGACAAAACGCACTGCTACTGTGTTATATCTAGACTTTATTTTGATTTACAATATAAGATATTGTTCCAACTCCATTTCTCCATATAGTTAACCAGTTATCTCAGAATCACTTATTATATAATTTAGATCTCCTCCATCAATCGCCACAATGTCCTTTACTCACTGTATGATTTCTTTGCGTGTTTTTCTATTGTTCCTTAGATTTTTCTGCTTATTGATGTCTGATTTTACTCTCATGAAAATTTCATTGTGGCATAATGCAAATATCTTTCAATGCTTGCCATTCCTTCTAAAAAAAAAAAAAAACCCTCTTGTATAGTCTATGAATATATATAACTCACCTTTATTATTTTTTGCCTACTGTATTCATTTTCTATTCCTGTATACATATTACCACAAACTTATTGGTCTAAAATGATGCACTTTTATTATGTTATATAATCTGTGGGTCAGAGTTCAAGACATGCCGTAGTTTAGTTGGTTGTTCTCTGCAATCTCTGCATCTCACAAGGCTGCAATCAAGGAGTTGGCCAGGGTGCCTTCTCAACTGGAGGCTAGACTGGGGAAGGTCCCACTTCCAAGCTCATTCAGGTTGTTAGGAGAATTCATCTCCTTACAGCTATACAGATGAAGGCCCTGGTTTGGGCTGGGTTTTGGCTAGAGGTTGCTCTCTTGCCCTAGGGGCAGCCCATAGTTCCTTACCATGTGGGCTTCACCAACTTTCTGTTTACTTTATCAAGCCCATGAGAAAAGGATCTAGCTTCAGTTTGCTAAGATGGAGTCTTATATAATGTAATCACGAGAGGGCATCCCCTCACTTTCGCTGGCTGGAAGCAACTCATAGGTCTTGCCGCCATTCAGGTGGAGGGGATTACACAAATCCGTGAACACCATGAGGTGAGCAACACTGGAGTCACCTTAGGATCTATTTGTCACATTAAGTTAAAAAACAAGTCTTCTCGGCTGTGATTATAGTACTGAATTCTTTGACATAAGATTCCAGTTTCAAAAGTCCATGACTTCATGGTACCAGGGCTCTCTTCCAGTGGTTAAGTATCATAACTCCAAGATATGTATTAATTTGCACACACTCTCTCACACACAGACACACAAACTCATACATTCTCAGGTAATCCTTAAAATGGCAACCCTTAAGGGCAATCCTTAAAAATATTTCACAGTCAGCATGACACTGGCACCAACCTATTAGGTGGACATGGCCGGAACTATGCATTCAGAATGGACACAGGACAGAAACCATCCTTAAGGACACATATAATAGCAAGGAATACTTACTACCCAGCAAGCATCAGGCTTAGCCTTTTAAATATATCCTCTAGTTAGTCTTTCAGCAATCTAATAGGGCAGATGTTTGATGCCCTCATTCATGAGCCATTAGCCTCTTGGTTCACTGGTACTACTTTTCAGTAGCCTTTGTCTTTAGGACTCCTGGGCAACTTGGAGAAATCAGAGACCCCAAGAACTCATGAATTAGTAGTTGATTTGATTGACATAGAGGTCACTACTTGGCCCTGAATCAGGAAGGAAAACCCTTATAAAAATATTATATTTGAGCTTCTCACTCATCAAAATTCTGCCCCCACCTTCACTAAAAAGGCTTCTGCTACATTTAAAGAGAAAACAGCACAGCTTTTTGGGGAAGGCTCTTTTGTTATCTCAAGGTGACTCCTTCCTTGAAGTTATGAGGACTTTTTGAAGACACAGGGTGTCGACCTCCTATTCTACACCATATAGCCATATAAACCCCACAGATGGGTGCACTTGGTTTATAGCAAACGTATTCTCATGGTGTCATCTAGGACAAAAGAAAAGCCATCATATACTTGTGGTACAATGTTTAAGAGCATAGATACCTGACCTACACCATTAGTTGGTCTTTCTATACCTATGTGAAGCATAGGTACATCTGTAAAATGGGGATAGTAGCAGTAGCTTCCTCAAAGGATTGTGTAAGGATTAAGTGAATTGATCCTCAGTCATTATGTTACATGAGCTATCAGGACCATCTGACACACTTGCTGACTTTCTTCTCCCCAAAACCCTTTTCCCCTTGGCTTCCAGGATACCACACTCTCCTGGTTTTCTTCCAAACCCTCTGACCATTCCCTTTCAGTCTCCTTCACTGGTTGTACCCACTTATTTGGCCTCTGTAAATATCAGACAGGCCCAGAGTCAGTCATTGGTTCTCTTCCCTCTGTGTTTTCTTTTCCCAAATATCATGGCTTCAAGTATTATGTGTAGATTATGAGTGCCCAGTCTTATACCTCAGCCCCTGTATCTCTTCTAAACTCTAAAGTTGTGTATCCAACAACATTCTCGACATGTTCCCTTAGGTCCCTAAAAGGGATCTCTGTGGGTCTAACAATAAGCTCTTGATCATCCCCACTCTCCCCAAACCTGCTCTTGCTACAGAACTTCCTTCCTCAGTGAACCAGGCTTCTAGTTCTTAGAACAAGAACCTCTCCAGTGCCCTTCCCCAGCCGGTCTATAAAACTGAAACCTTGATTTAGTGTGACTCATGCTGGGGATTGATTTGGGATCTGATTACCTTTTTGCTCTTCTACTGCTACCACCCCCGTCCAACGTTCTTCACTTGTCTTCTGCATTATTGCAATAGCTTCTTCCCGGCAATAGCCATCTTTCCTAGAAATGCAAAACCAGATTTGAATGCTGTGCTCATTTCTTTGTCTACTTTTTTTTTTTTTTTTGCTATATTTTTTCATAGTTTGTGGTTGTGAATTTCCCTGAGAAAACATTTCTAGGCGTTTAATTTCAAATTTCATTTTATTTTTTTAGAGAGAGTGAGAGCACAGGAATGGGGTGGGAGAGGCAGAGGAAAAAGAGAATCTTTTTTACTTATTTACTTATTTGAGAGAAAGCAGGGGGAGGAGAGCAAGCAGAGGGAGAGGGAGAGAGAGAATCTCAAGCAGGTTCCCCACTGAGTGCGGAGCCTGACCTCACAACCCCAAGATCATGACCTGAGCTGAAATCAAGAGTGGGACACTTAACTGACTGAGCCACGCAGGCACCTCTTAATTTTAAACTTTAAATGAAAGCTTGTCCTCAACGCCTGAAGACATAAAGAATAATAAGAATCGTCATCTACACCAAGGAACAACTCCTTCAGAGTTTAAAAAATTATGTTTTATATATATCTAATTTATAATGTAGTACACATAATACATACAACATAGTTTATTTAAATTACAGAATGTAAATATGTACATATACATATTTTTATTTATATGTATATAAAATGTACACTTTACTATATATGTATTTACTTCTGAGGATTTTAATCAACATTAGAATATAATAACCCAGGAATGGGAGAGACAGAATTATAGGAAGGACAGATGCCTCAGAGCAAGTCAGTGTCTACACAGCTGTAGTATAAACACACCTTTGGGGGCACCTGGGTGGTTCAGTTGGTTTAGCGTCTGCCTTCGGCTCAGGTCATGGTCCCAGAGTCCTGGGAATGAGTCCCACATCAGGCTCCCTGCTCAGTGGGGAATCTTCTTCTCTGCCCCACCCCTGGCTCATGCTCAATTTCTCTCTCTCAAATTAAAAAAAAAGTTTTTTAAATAAAAACACCTTTGGTTCAACTCAGTGATTTCCTCCTTTTGTATCTTCCTTTCCTAAAGCCAGCAGAGTGCCATTTAAACCATCAAGGCATGGCTTGTAGTATTTTTCTGTATTACAACTTGTGAGAAACAAATGATGGCTTAATGAGAAAAGCCCTAAGGTCACATTATAATTGTTGTAGGTCTAAGCTTATGCTCCACTCGCTGTGGGATAGCCTTTACCACGCACATGTGCAACTTCATAACGGCGGCACAGTGTACTGTCCTAAACATCACCATGCTAGCCATGGTCAACAGCACGGACCATCGGTTCCAGTTTAATGACTCTACCAAGGGGCCGCCTGGTGACTCATTTGGTGGCCCGAATAACGCCCCAGACAGTCTCCCTGCAGGGGTAAGCAAAGCAAGATTGAAGCTGTGCGCTTGTTCTTGCTGCTCATCTGTTTGAATGCTTATTTTGGGGGATTTCTATGTTAAAAAGTTGTATTGGGGGAAATAGTGATGTGAAAGCAAGTGAAAGATCTAACAAGGTTTTTCCAGTTATGATAGCACCTTCCTGCAAATAGCTCACCAGAGCGTTCTCTTGTCTCTTTAAGGTCCTTGTGTACAACTGGAGCCCTCAAATTCAGGGCATCATCTTTAGTTCTCTCAGCTATGGCCTGATACCGATGCTGCTTCTCAGTGGATACCTGGCTGGAAGAGTAGGAACAAAGAGAGTGGTTGCTGTTTCTTTGTTTGCAACCTCACTCTTCACTATGTTCACCCCTCTGGCAGCCGAGCTGGGACTAGTGTCCTTCATTGCAACTCGAATTGCACAGAGCATAGGCCAGGTATCCAGATATTTGACAACTATGAGCTGGATGGGAGTTTCCACATGGCACCACACATCAAGAGCTCTAACTATTAATTTCAGGGATCGGTATTAGGGGGTCAGCACGCGCTGTGGGAGAAATGGGGTCCTCCACATGAACGAAGTCGACTCTGCTCCATCAGTTTATCAGGTAAAAACACAGAACTGAAATGAGTACATTACCATGCAACATCTGCACCCTGGGTTATTTAACAATTTTTCTATTGAATGTTTCTTTGTCTTCTCCTCAGTGTTGACCAGGTATTTATAAATTAGGGAGATGGATCCTTTGTGACAGGACTTTCAGTTGTTTTTTTCCCCAAATTGTCATTTGTAACATGACTTTGCTTATAATGATTTTTCCTATTCTGAAAGAAACATATTTTTGTGTAAATTGATCATTCTTTCCTTCTATGGCTTCTAGATAAAAGCATCCACCTGTGTTTTTTCTTGAACTTGAATGATTTTATTTTTTATAGCTAAATTTATGATATATTGGAGTCTATTTTAGAATTCTGTGTATAAAGTATGCATCCAACTTAATCTTCTTTGGAATTTCTCTTAGCTTACTGAGAACTGCTTTCTGATTGTGATTTGCTTAGGCAGTGTATCTGAAAGGAATATTCTGAAGAAAGAAGTCTACATAATATTGAGGAAGAATGAAAAATGGAAAGAATAGAGCTAACAAATATGAAATTGGTGAAGTAGGTGCTGGGTAAGAAAAGAAGGGTAACTCTCCAGCTAACTAATGGATACCAAGAGAGCCAGGGACTCTTCAGCCCAGAAAACAAGCCCCCCACCCCCCACATACAAACACACACAGCCTGACTGACTTCATACCCCCCATAGAGCCCTTTATTACCTTGGAGGATTATTTTCAATCACCAGAGCTTGTATTCAGTATTCACTGATAGGGAAATAGTCCACCTATTTGGACAAAGGAAATTCACATCAGTTATCACAACTGACTAATGGAGCTTCTAAGTTTTAAACCCCCACCCCCAAATCCTTGAACACTTGAAAGAAATCAAGAGCACAAAAGAGAAAGACCAAACTCAAAAACTGTAAGAATGAATCCAAATGAAGGAGAAATTAAAAGAAAATTTTACATGATTAACAAATAACATGGGAGAGATCCCAGGAAATATGTATAATAACATTTATTTAAAAAGAAAAAAAAAACTGTCCAAATGGCTCATAACAAAAAGGCATTGGAGAGAATGTGGAGAAAAGAGAATCCTTGTGCCCTATTAATGGGAATGTAAATTGGTGCAGCAACTTTGGAAAACAGTATGGGGATTCCTGAAAAAACTAAAAATAAAAGTCCCATACAACCCAGTTAGTCCCCTTCTGGGTATTTACCTGAGGAAAATGAAAAACGGTCGTACAAAAGATATTTGCACTCATATCTTGCAGCAATCTTTACAACAGCAAAAGATAAGGAAGCAATCCACGCGTCCATCAATAGATGGATGGCTGGAGAAGATGTGGTATAGACATCAAGGAATATTATTTAGTCTAAAAAAGAATGAAATCTTGCCATTTGCAGCAATATGGATGGACCCAGAGCTTTATTATGCTAAGTGATACAAGTCAGACAAAGACAATGACCATATGATTTCCCTTATATGTGGGATGTAAAAAAACAACCAAACAAACAAATAACAGTAACAACAGGAAAGACAGACAGACTCATAAATAAAGGGGACAAACTAGTGGTTGCCAGAAGTGGGGGGGGTTTCAGTCAAATAGGTGTGAAGGGGATTAAGAGATACAAACTTCCAGTTATAAAATAATTAACCATGGGAATGGAAAGTACAACGTAGGGAATAGAGTCAATAATATTACTATTGTATGGTGATAGAGGGTTACTACACTTACTGTGGTTATTTTGCAATGTGTGACATTGTCAACTCACTATATTGTACACCTGAAGCTAACATACGTCAACTATACTTCAACTAAAAATGTGAGAAAATAACTTAGAAAATAGATTGCTGTAAAATAGTTATTGATAAAATAATATAATTGTTAGTATTTTTAACTGCAATGAATGGTCTCAATACCTAAACGAAGGGAGATGAACATCAAATTAGCAAATTGGACAAGTACGTTGAAAGATTATCCCAGAATACAATACAAGAATCAGAAGATGGAAAGCATGCAGGAAAGGTTTAAAATTTTGGAAAGAAGACAGCTCCTTTCTCTCTCACTTCCTGTTACATAGGCATAGAGCTACTGGAATAGGACAACTGACTGTCTAGAAGTCTCAGGAATCCACAAGTCTGCAAGTTCCAGAGGCTTCCTTGGTTTTGGTATTAGGGGAATACCTTAGTGTCTCCAAACAGGTAGTCTTCACTGGCCTCTAGAAACCTTTTCTGGTTCAGAGAACACAAAGCCAAGGCCGTCTGAGGGGCCAATGGGAAGCCATTGGAGGACCCGGCAGGTGGAGTGGGCTAAGCCTATAAGAACTCAATAGTTCTTATAGAAATGGCCATTTCTGGTGATTTCTAGGGATTTCAGCAGGCTGCCCTGGTCAACAGGATGACTCAGCCTATGAGGCTGAAGAAAGACTTCCCAGAAAACACCCAAAAGTAGAAGGGCCCAGGTACTGCCAGGCTCTAGGACAGTACATACTCTATCTTCCTCTCCAGGGAACCACAGAGGCACATCTATAAGCAGGAAACTTTCTAACCACTTACAGAAAAAAGACTAAGCAGATAAAACAGAACTGGCAGCGCATATCTGAGGTGACAGAAACACACACACACACACACACACTTAGTCCGAAGACGATGCAACAACATATAGCAGTGAAAATGGGGGAAAAAAAACAACACTGCAACTGCACACAGCAACATGTCTAAGTGTTAGAAACACAAACGCTGGATGAACAAAGCATGTCTATTGTGGTGGAAAATCACCTTGATGCAATTTTAGCCCCAAGTACACTACCTGGCAAGCTATCCCAGTGGTCACGGTACAGATGGGCTCACAGGCTAAATGGGGTGCTCTCTTGTCCAGTTAAACTCCTCTAAAACTCACAGTGAAATGGAAAATGGAAAAATGGGGTAGAATAACACACTTAAGATACACTTTGCAATGTCCTAAAGAGAACAGCCAGGATGCTATAACTTTAATAAAAGTCAGAAAAGACAAACATACCCTTGAGGTATACACATACACATACACATGGGGTACAAGTTGCATAAACAGGTGATAGATTTAAGCATTAATTTACAATACATATAAATCAAGTGCTAGCTATGAACTATGAGTGGAGATCGAATGGACTCGGCAGAAATACGGCAGAGAACAAGGCATACTAAAATCTCTCAGGATGCAGATAGTAGGGCGCCTGGGTGGCTCAGTGGGTTAAAGCCTCTGCCTTCGGCTCAGGTCATAATCCCAGGGTCCTGGATCGAGCCCCGCATCATCCGGCTCTCTGCTCAGGGGGGAGCCTACTCCCCACCCCCACCCCGTCTACCTCTCTGCCTACTTGTGATCTCTGTCAAATAAATTTTTTTTTAATTTCTATTAAAAAAAGAAAGAAGAAGATACAGATGGTATTTGAAGACCTCGGTTGAATGTGATCACCCAGAGAAGAAACCCAAGGAAATAGTCCCATGACCCTCCAATCTCTGGGCCCCAGACAGAGGAGAAGGAGAGGTAGCGGGGACTGGGAAGCCTCCCATGGGCCCTTGGGCAACATTCAGTCTGAGGTGACGGGTCCTTGGAACCACGTGCTGCTGGTCCAGAGAAAACGATGGTGGACTTAGCAAGCCAGAGGTCCTGAAAGGCCTTGACAAGGGTGGAAGGGCAGGGACTGCAAACACAAAAGGAGAAGAAAACTGTCAAAGCACATGGAAGGAGTTCTGAAGAGGTGGAAAGTTTTGTTTGGTTTTGAGCCCTGGCTGTATGAAGGAAGATAAATTTGCATATGTGGATGGGTGAGAACAGAGAGCCAAGGAATTAAATGAGGGTACAGACGTGAGGGTGCCTCCTCTTTGAGCCGCCTGGGCCTGGGCCAGACTGGAGGAGACGTGTTCCAGGGGTCGAGAGGGATCTGGTCTTGGATGGTTGCGGGAACTTGTCCCCTATTGTAACTGGAGTAAAGGCAGAGAGTTCAAGGGTGAGATTCTTCACGTGAAGATTCGGTGGACTTCATGGTAGAAAAGATACTAAAATGTTGAAGATGTTCAGTGTTCTCAAGGAGATGAGGAAAAAAACAAAACAATATTTTTGGCCATTTAGTTTGGTATGAGCTTTTTGTAAGATACTTTGACAGTATCCATCAAAATGAAAAATGCACAAGTGGTCAAGCAAGGCCACTGATGACAGCCTGTTGTACCAAAGTAAATTATACTTATGTTCAGAAATAACACCTTAGTTTCAAAAAAGTTGTAAAAAGGAAGTGTGCCCTACTATGTATGAGAATGCTCTGTGAGGTCAGGGAAATTAAAACAATGCTACTGGCCCCTTCACAGACAAACTGAGCTTTCTGCCTGTATGGGGCACACATGCCTTTACAGAGAAGTAGGTGTGTGTGTCAGTATACATTAGAGATGTCTGCAGAGAAGAAAGGCATGCAACTCTACACCACATAATGGGGACTAGTTAACATTAGAGACCAGAATGGGAATGGGTTTGGGGGCACACGAGGGGAACTTTGGTCCTTTGTGGTAATTTACTCTTACAATAAGCATACGTCATACGACTTGTATAGGTAAAAATTAAAATAGCACAGAAGGAAGAAGCATACCTGTCATCTGTCATGTTATTAGGGAATTGTCAGAAAAATGGAGAACATGTGGAGGGATACATCTGAAGTTAATGAATTCCAACATGCCTGCCTCATTATGGTTGGTGACGCTGGTAACATCCATCATTCTGCCGGTGTCTCTCTAATGGCCGTCCGGAGCCTGACAGCTTACTCTCTCTTTGCAGGAATGATATTGGGAACCTTCACCATCATCCTCCTGGGTGGCATGATCTGCCAAAACCTTGGGTGGCCTTTTGCCTTCTATATCTTGGGTAAGCTACTGTCTCCCCAGCCCCAGAGAGGTGGTTCGTGAGAGAGGAAAGACGTGCAGCCACTACTGGGTGTCATGTCTCCCAGGTGAGAGGCAAGCTTCCTATGGAGAGAAAGCACTGAACACCAGCAGGGTGCAGACAGTGAGGCACAACGACCTGTGAGAGGTGAGGTCTCAGGCAGGGCGCAGGACAAGGGAACTCTGCAGAAACAGAATCAAGGAGACAAAGCTAAAAGCTTGGAGAGAGGATAGCGTGAGGCAGAAAAGAGGGAACGGGAAACCCGGTTCTCTGTAGGGTTCCTCCCCACCAACTCGATCCGCAGTGGAACACTCATCAGTACACATGTGTGAAGACATCATCTGAGCCCAGAGCGGGGAAAAATCACTGGGAAAGATTAAAGAATAGTATCCAGGATTTACAGAGGATCAGAGATAGTGTCTCTGACCCCAGGACAGGCTGGAAACACTTAGAGGTCAGAGGCCATTGGGCAGAACTCTTCCCATTGACTTCCTCGGTAATGCGGAATCCTTTGCTCCAGAGGAAGTGCTGTGGAGGTCCATCTGACAAATAAGGACACAAGACCTGAAAGATCAAACTGTTTCTATGTAATTTAACTGCATCCCAGACAAAAGCTCAAAAATATTCAGCACCCAACTACGTGTAATTCATAAGGTCTGCTTCCAATCATAGATCGCCAGGTATGGGGGGAAAAAATGGCAGGAAAACACAGTAACACAATCCATAATAATAATAATAATAATAATAATAATAAATCAATGAAAACTAACCCAGAATGGACACAAATGTTAAGAATTAGCAGACAAGGGCATTAAAATAGACAGTTATTCTAACTCTGCTATAACCTAAGTCTATTTGTTCGGAAGTTAAGTGGAGACATGGAAAAAATCTTTTTTAAAAGACCCAAATCTAACTTCTGGAGATGAAAACTATACTATATGGATGGAGTTAAAGACAGATTAAGGTACCTAAAATTAGAAGTATAAATCATCCAGAATGGACCACCCTGAGAAATAAAGTAATAGTGAATGAGAACATCAGGACAGAACAGTGTGTCATTTTCTTCATGTTTCCTGTCCTTGAGGCCCACGGACCTTCTTGGGTCTGTGAGTTTGTAGTTTTTATTGACTCAAGCAACTTATCACCCATTATTTCTTCCAAGACTCCTTCTGTTCTCCCATACCATTCCTCTTCTCTGAGCATGAAAGACCTTGCCCCGTGTATTTCTTCATCTGGCTGTCCGTCTCTCTCCTCTATGATATCCTTTATAAAAAACTGGTAAGCATAAGTAAATGTTCTCCTGACTCTTGTGAGCTTTGTTCCAATTAATTATCAAAACCGAGATGGGGATTGTAGGAACCTCCACCTGTGTAGTCAAGTCAGAAATGTGGGTGACATGGGGACCCCCTGCTTGTGACTGGCCTCTGAAGGAGGGGGGGCAGTCTTACAAGACTGAGCCCTCACCCTGTGGGGTCTGTACCAGAAGTTAGTGTCAAAACTGAGCCAAAGCTGGTGTCTACAGAGCACTGGAGAATTTCTTAAACGTGTTAAAAGAAATAGTTTTCTTTTGGTAATATTAAAAAGGTTGAATTACCAAGTTTTCCGCCATCCCTAGGGTCTGTGATTTTCATTCACACAAATCAAGAAATGTATTTTTTTTTTAAGAGAGGTTTCTAGAAAGCTGTGCTATTCATGTGAGGGTTTTTTTGAGAAATGGAAAGGGGATATTATGAGCAAGGGCTTTTCCCAGGACTCGAATGTCCTGACAGAAAAGAAATTCACACAGAAAGCAGAACCAGGCTCAGTTCCCAAATTTACCCTCTGCTTGCAGGAGGCATCGGCTGTGTCTACTGCCTTCTTTGGTTTGTTCTGGTTTATGATGACCCCATCTCTCACCCATGGATAAACATCACAGAAAGAGAATATATCATAACGTCCTTGGCTGACCAGATACACGTAAGGATTCCAAGCATCTCCAGAGAGCTGTGTCAGCCTCTAGATTTCTCGGGGAGCCTGAGGTGCAGATCTCACTGTTCTAACCAGTACATTTGTATTCAGGTCAGCCCTTGTAAGCAGCCTCTTCCCATCAAGGCCATGCTCAGATCGCTACCACTTTGGTACATATGTGTCTGCGGCTTCGGCCATCAGTGGCTAATGATTACACTGATGCTCTACACACCAACTTACATCAACTCTGTGTTCAACATTAACATGAGAGATGTGAGTGCCTTTCCTTCCATGCCTTTCTCCAGTGTGCACGACCCACCATTTTGTCTTCACAAATCATTCCTTCCAGAAAAGTTTATCCTTTACCCCTACCACAAAATCATCTAGGATTTAACACTAATTCTGGTAGCTTTTCTAAGGATATGATAGAAGAGGCTACTGACTTTCTTCAGACCATGAGATCTCAGGATTGTCAGTATGATGATCAGTGGTTTATCAACAAAAGGTGTGGGCTCGTTGTCCCTGTTATGATGGTTTACTCGATTTTTTCCCCTTCAGAATGGGTTCCTGTCTGCCCTTCCCTTTCTCATCGCCTGGGTCACTGGTATACTAGGAGGCCAGCTGGCAGATTTCCTCTTGACCAAGAATTTTAGGCTTGTTACTGTGAGGAAAGTGAGGAAAGCTGCCACATTTCTAGGTAAGAACAAGGTTTGAGGGTCAGATGATTCGCAAAGCATCCAACAGCCAAAGATGTATCTCATTGTTTAATTTGTTCCACATTCCCTAGGAAATTTCCCATCTTCAGCGCTCCTTGTGGTTCTGCCCTACATCACCCCCAGCTACATCACGACAATGACCCTCTTGATCCTCTCGTGTGGACTGAGCTCCTTCTGTCACTCAGGGATCTATATCAATGTCTTAGATATTGCTCCGAGGTAGGAGGATAATCTCCACTCTTATATTCACATATTCTGAAAAAGATGTAGCCCAAAGCTTTCTGGGAGCCCCAAACTTTGAGAAATAATAAATCATAGGCAAGGACCGCAGTTGATCCTGTGGCCATTTTTTGAGGCATGTGGGGGGAGGGGTATTTTTTGATTTGTCTCAGTGCCTCTCATTGAACATACGCAGTGCAAGTCCTTTTTGATGTACTTAGAAAAGCAGGGCTGAAGGACACTGTGAAGCACCTCTGGATCTAGCCTGGAACATTCCTGTCACCCACAGGCATTCCAGTTTTCTCATGGGAGCCACAAGGGGATTCATATTCATAGCAGCAATCCTGACACCAACTGTCAATGGATTTCTCCTCGATCAGGTAGAGTTTTTTTGTCACAGATTCTTCAGATGCTCTGCCATCTAGATCTAGAGGTAGTGGCATAAAGATGCTATTCTCATTTTAGAAAACACAATAAATTGCGGGTCCCCTTTGTCATGAAGATCAACCTGGCAAAGAAAAATGTAGAACAATTTCCTTCAGTCTTTAAAACCAGAAAACACACAGCCATACAGGTGTCATGAGATAATGATTCCATGCATAGAGGCAACTTACCATGTCTTCTGCAACATTCTGGATTTTCACTTGCACAACCATCCCCAAGGAAAGGGATAATTAAAACAGATGTGGTGGAGTGTGGGACACATGCAGACATCATTATAGGAATATTGTATGCAGGAATCTCATTTAATTATTGATTCTCACACCCACTATGAGGATGGTATGTTATTACCCTCACTTCCTGATGATTAAGCTGAAAATCTGACAGAATAAGTCTTTCCACTAAGATGACATAGAATCAGAATTCTTCCTTTTTAGACCTGTCTAGCCCCAGGCCTGCAATGTTGCCCCATGACATTGCAAAGCAAGAAAAAAACACTCAGCATGTTTGATGTTGTCATGATTTGCACAAAAGGGAAAACGTATGGCACTTCAGTAAACTGTGACAAATATAGTTCTGTAAGCTAATCGTAAAGGTCCCTAAACCCCATTTATTAAGACTATTCCAAATCCACTTTGAACATATTATTTCTATCCAACTACCAAGCTGCTTACAGGGAATGAATTTCTGCATGGAAACCCACTAGCAAACTATTAATACAGCCTCACAGAGAAAAGGATGAAAGGGGGTAATATTTACTTGAGCTTCTGTGTCCTCAGGACCCTGAATTTGGGTGGAGAAATGTCTTCTTGTTGTTATTTGCCATTAACCTATCAGGACTGATCACCTACCTTATATTTGGAGAAGCAGTTATCCAAGACTGGGCTAAAGAGAGGAAACTCACTCGTTTATGAAGGTAAAGGATAGTGATTTCGTCTGTGGATTTAACCACAGAAGCACTATTTAAATCTTTAATTTGATGTCAGTTTTCTTCCTTAGTTATTCTACCTTGCTATGATGGAAAGTTACTGGACACCTTCCTGCACAAATGAGAAGACTTTGGTGTTAAAAATACCAACAGAAAGAATTTCTTTTGTCTGGTTCTTTTCAAATCTGAGATCAGTTCTTTATGTTATTAAGCTTTCTTTCTGAGAAAAATGTAAGAAGAATGAAAATTCCAATAAAGTGACAGCCAAGTACAAAATTGTCGTCCTCACTGAATTACCAGTGGATTAGGAGGAATTGCTAGATCAGAGCCCACAGGCCAGACTCACAGTTTCTGGATCTCAAAACAGGAAACAATGTTTGGAAGCTCTTCGTCCAGGGTGGTAACCTCAGTAGGATGATGATTTTTCCTATTTGTAAAAGCAAATGTTCATTTATATTTGTTGGACTAGACATTGGCCACATACTCCTCCCTTTGTATGATCCACTCTTCATCCCGTTTAGGCCCCAGGAGGCTGACCTGCACGGTTTCCATCCACACTGCCTTGTCCCCTGGATCCTGCTGGATTTTCAGTGGAGGCTGAAGAGTGAGGACAGGGGGTGTCTATCTCTAAAGTCCCTCCCTGTGGGATCGGCAGGTGGCTGATTCTTGCCCTGCAGTTCATAGCCGCTGGTCCATCCACACATTCTGGTGGCTTCTCTCCTCCCTGTCAGGACTTTCTTGGCCTGTGCCACATTCCCAGTCCTGTGTAAGTTGTCTCTTTTAACCCTGTCTTCAAATGCACTACTGTGAGTCTGCTGTATTTTCCTTCTGGGCTCCAACGGCTTCAGTGGTTGAATCATCTATAAAGCTCCCAACAGGAGAAGGAGCAGTATTTTTGTAAAATGGGAATGTGTAGGTGTCAACTGGTCAGAGCATGTACGGGGATCCAGGGCTGTTTCCTTGGTTGCTTCCTGTGGCGATCTTCACCACGGAGATGGTAGAGCCATGAGGTTATTTCATGTTGAGGTGATGGGATAGGCATGGTTCTGAATGAAAAACAAGGGCAAGTAAACAGAGGCCAAATCTGTGTACATTAAAAGTCCATGGCCGAGGTCTTGCTCTCATCTAGAATCTAGGAACTTTGGACACGAAAGTAAACCGGGCACAGTCACTATTCTCCAGTCTAACGTACAGGACAGACAAAATGGCTCCCAGGCCACTGCCTTAGGCACAATAGCAGAGGGACATACAGACCCTTTGGGGGGACCATACAAGCAGTTCTGACCCCAAGTGGAAGAGCACAGTGATGAATCTTCCTCCACAAGAAATTCCTGAGCTAAATGGGTTGTTTTATGGTAAGATTTCTCACACTGAAGCCCAACACATGCAAAAGCATGGAGATAAGAAACAGGATGGATTCTGAAAGGAATGACCTGCCTCCACGGTCAGTGAGGAAAGAACAGAAGATGAGATTAGGAGGGTGAGTGTGACCAGCACATGAAGGTCGTGTTTGCCACGTTAGGGAGCTTGAGCGAGACCCTACAAGCAATAGTGACATGGAGAGAAGAAGAGAGACATCCATGATGTTCAGGAGGTAAAGTTGAAAGGTCATGGTATTTGGTTAGATGGATGCCGAGGAATCTGGGTCTCTAATCTGACAGACTGCAAATAGAGTGTCTGAACAACTAAGCCAGAGAATGCAGGAAGAGGAGTCTTTTTTAGAGGGAAGACAATGAGTTGATGTGGGGCCATGTCGTGTTAGTGATAATAATGAGGTAATCAAGTGGGCATGTGTATTCGTTTCCTGGGTTGGCCATAACAAAGTGCTACAAATTAGGTAGCTGAAAAGCAGTAATTTATTGTCTCACAGTTGCAGAAGTCTGAATAGAGCAGCAGATTTGGTTCCTTCTCAGTGTTGAGGGAGAATCAGTTCTGTGCCTCTCTGCTAGGAGCCTCAGGAACTCCTTAGTTTGTAGAAGTCTTTCCCCCTTTGTCTTCGTATCATCTTCCCTCTGTACATGTCTCTTTGTCAAAATTTCCCCTACTTGTAAGGATGTCCCATGTTAATGACAGGTTTTTTGTTTTTTGGGGGTTTTTTGAGAGAGAGCGAGAGCATGCCGTACATGGAAGCTGGGGGAGGGGCAAGCGGAGAGAGAGAGACAATCTTAAGCAGGTTCCATGCTCAGCACAGAGTCTGACCCAGGGCTCCATTTCACGACCCTGAGATCATGACCTGAAATCAAGAGTCAGATGCTCAACTCACTGAGCCACCCAGACATCCTGCTAATGACAGGTTCTTCATGTCATTCTTGAGAGTACTAAATGGATATGACCAACATGCTGAAGGCCCTGAGGGTCCAAGGCTGAGCCATGTGCTTCTGAGTCTTTGGTGTAGGTACTTAATAAATATCTGATGAATCTTAATATAGGTATATTATCATAAAGCAAAAACGTAATTCTATGTATCAGGAATCAAGATGTTTACTGTATGACAAAAATTCAGGAGCACAAAGTCAAAGAAGTTTTAAAAATCACTCTAACATTCAAATTGAATTGGAAATATCAATCAGAATTTGTAATTTTTTTTCTTAAAAAAATAGTTCTTTTAAGTTCTTCTGCTGAAAGGGCCTAGAAGCAATGAGACCTAGGAGCAAAGAGTACCTCGATGTTTGGAGTGTGGTCTCTGGCTGTTATCTGCTACTGAAAGGAACCAGCACTCCATAAGAAAGCCCAGGTTCCAGAACAGGAAATACGCTAGAGAAGTCTGGAGTGTGTATGTGTGTGTGTGTGTGTGTGTGTGTGTTAGAAAACAAGGATGCTTTCCCAGACAACTAGGGTCAGGTCTTAATAGACAGAAACCAGCTGGAGTAGCCTCCTACTGGCCAAAGAAGGGACAATTTAAGCATCAAAAAACAGGGGCTCAACAGATTGAAACATATCAAGTAAAACCCATTAAGTCATAATTTTCCTTGGTCAACTTCACTAAGGCACTAAATTATTATTCTACAACTTTATAAAGTATCCTGGCTTTCTTACTTTTTTAAGATCATTTGTTTATTTGAGAGAGAGGAATAGAGTGTACACAAACAGTAGGGAGGGACAGAGGGAGAAGCAGACTCCCTGCTGAGTAGGGAGCCAGACATGGGGTTCAATCCCAGGGCCCTGGGATCACGACCTGAGCAGAAGGCAGATGCTTAACTCACGAGCCACACAGGCGCCCCAGCTTTCCTGTTAAATTGTGTTTCAGGTTAACAAAATATTCAATTAGGCAAATATCCTGTTTTGCAGAAGGCTCCAGTTCCTACACGAAGAAGGCAGGACAGAATTAGGAAATCATTTTGTAACTTCTAATAAAATAATGGCTCTACACAGCATTTACTAACAACCATCAAAGTCCGCAGGCAAAGGCTGCTGAGAACTTCATCGGTGGATAAATCAAGCTGAGACTATCTGAACCCACCGAGCAATCTTATCTCACTAAAGATGAGCCAAGCTGCCAGCAGCTCATGAAGTATTCTTGTCCTTGGTCTAAGCAAGCCTCTCTACACACCAGCAGCTTCCAGAACATAGGGAATAAAAAATTTATCAAATGACACTGAAAAGAAGCAACTAGCCAAATCAGACACGAGGGTGACTCTGCAAATGAGCCCGTTTTGTTACTACTGTTGTTTTTAAGTAACAGCCAATACAAAATGAAGGAAATGACGGTTATGAAGTTACAGAGAGGTGAGAGCCCTAACAGTTACGGACCACATGTGGATCTTGTTTGGGTCCTCTTTTAAATAAACAAATGATTAAATAAATAAATACATGAAGTATTAAAGGATAACTCTAAAGCAATTAGAAACATACTCATAATGACTAGCTATTGATGATATCAAGAAATCATTGCTTATTAGATGGGCTGATGGCATGTTATGTTTTTTAAAGCACTAATGAGTTCTATACCCAGGCTGTACTTTTTGTAGAAAAAATAACATAATATTTGAGATTTATTTTAAAATACTACAGAAAACCACCACTGGAGAAAAAAATATATATATGTATGTATAAAATTATATATATTGGTGATTGTTGAAGCTGGTTAATGGGCACATGGTTATATTAAACTGCTCTACATTTCTTCTATGTTTGGAAGTTTCATATACAGTGTTAAATTTAAAAACTTAATAAGAAACACAGAATCCAGACGTAGAATCCAGAAGTGATTTCAAAGCATATCACAGAGCAACATAAAGCTTTGGGGTCAGCATACAAGAAGATCATTCGCTCTGGGTAATCAGTGACGAGAACCCGAGACATGGACACCAGATGGGAATGCTGTTTATTTAAAATATGGACATTGAGCAGCTGCTGATCTGGGGCTCCCATCACTAAAAGGCTGGAGAATGCCAGAAATGGCCAGCCTTGTCATCAAGCTGTACAAACATGCAGGGATAGCCAGGACCTAGATTTCCGATGGAAAAAATATCCAACAGATTATATAAGACATCAGAGTCTTTGGGGCAAACAGGTTAAACGTTTTCAACATTTCTTTAGAGAAAATGACTGGGTCAATTAATAGAGTATCTGCTATGTGCCCAATATTTATTAGGCACTTTATAAGTATAATAACATATCTCTTAAAAAATGCTTAAGCATGTAAGAAACTATATGTCGTACAAAGTCCCTGACTGAAGGGCTTAGATGTTCCTATCTGATCAGTAGGTTCCCTTCAAAGAATTCCAAGGTAAAAGCGCTCCCGGGTATCACTATGGATAGGTGGCAGAACCAGGACAATGTAGTCATTGCAGAAGCTATAGGGGAAGTCACTTTCTTTGGAGGATATACCTTAATAAAATGTACATCTCTCTGAGTAGCTTGAGTGTCAGGCAGATGTGGCCTTTGCAAAAGAGAGAAAGGGGGAGGGGAGGGGAGGGAAGGGAAGGGAAGGGAAAGGAAGAGAACAGGAGAAGAAAGGCAGGGTAGAGAGAAGGGAAAAGAAGGAAAAGGGATGGCAGGAAAGCAAAAAGCTAATAGGGTGTTTACCGGGCATTTAAAAAGCCATAGCCTTCCTGTCAGAAGAGTATTACATACCCAGAGCCATGCTCAAGAGAAAACATCTACCCTGGCAACACTTACGCAACAGTCTGGTTCTCCTTCCTGGCAGGAGGAGATGAACGATGTCTGGCTATAGGGTCATGAACTTGATGGCTGATTTCCAGGAGGTTTCTAATTTGCTGGAAGATTGTAAGACTCACACTCCTCATTCAAGAAAAGGTAAGATTCAAGAAAAGGTAAAAGTGAAGTTAAAAATTAACCCTTTTAACTTGGATATAATGAAGTCAAAGGATTGGGTGAAGGATTAATGGGGCTAAAAGTGGTAAATCCAGAAGTTCAGTACTTTTTAAAGTTCAAAGGCTTCGCAGGGGAAGAAGGAATCGCTTGTCTCTCCCGAATCAGGTCAGTCTTACTCTTATGTTGATACTAAATGAAATTAACAATTCCCCAGAGTGATAAGGGGGACTTTTCCGTTAAAGACCTTATCAAGGGTGTTTAGCAAGCTCAGGAAATTTGGGGGAAAATATGTATTTCCACCGATTCTTTCCAAAGAAAAGTAAAAAGAACCTATTTCTAGGGATGAATGTGACATGGACTGTTGTGTGGACAGTCAAGGAAAGAGAAGCGTGTGCTGTGTGCTGTATGGTGCTTGTGTATCTGTGAATGGTGTGAGGTGTCTGTGGTGTGCGTGGTGGCTGGTATGCATGAGTACGTTTGTGATGTGTGTATTTCATATATATGTGTTGTGTTGAGATGTGTTTGTATGTGGTTGTGTGTGTGTGGAGTGTATGTGTGTTTGTGTAGTATGTTTGTGGTGGATTGGTATGTGTGCTTGTGCACATGTGTATTTGGAAATAAACAGCAGACCCAGAAGATGTTTCAGCATGCGATAATGGTGGTTGAGCAGTTGCTCACTCAAAATAGTTTGCAAATCCAACCTTGGGAATTTATCCTTGAGCATCTGGTCATTCAAACTGATGCGGCTGAAACTCAAGGTGTAGACAAGCACATGACCAGTGCCTGTTAGCATACAAACTGGTCTGTCCAGGAAGGAAGCTATGTGAGAACAACCTGCTGTCCTCAAGGAGGCAAAATTAATAAGCAGATAGTTATTCTTTAGCCCTATTAAGATGTAAAAAATAATTTGTTTGATTTTACTTACTCCTCTTCCAATGTTCTTTTTGTACATTCAACTTTCTGACTGTGAGCGATCTCCTCTTGCCTGAAAAACATGTTTTAACATTCTTTGCAGGGCACACATCGACCGTCAGTGAATTCCTTTAGTTTTTGTTTGTTTCACTTTTGAGGAATATTTTCACTGCATGTAGAATTATGGGTTAGCAGGGTCTTTGTTCTTTTTTAATAGTTTTCGGGGGGCATCTATATTTTTAGTCAACTTAAAAAACATAAGAGTGCAATGTCAAAGGAAGCACGTGGTTGAGTTAAATGGGTACTGGTGGGAGGAGAAAGCTTCCCTTTGATGCATGTTTTAAATCAGAAAGGAGGACTGGGTGGTTTCTGGTCAGTTCTTCCCTGCACCATGGTGACACCAATGTGTTTTACACTTGCAGTGGAGACCAAACCCTTCAGTAAGAAGAGAAGAAACCAGAACCCCTTATGTGAATGGATAACCAGTTCCCTCCCAGGAAAGGTACAAATTATTCTTTATCCCAGTGCATAGGCTTTCTTCTTCTTAAATATGACATCAAAGACGCACCTGGGAGGTCAGTCAGGCCTCTGACTCTTGATTTCGGCTCAGGTCATGATCTCAGGGTCATGGGACTGAGCTCCACGTAGGATTCAGTGCTGGGTGTGGAGTCTGCTTAGGATTCTCTCTCTCTTTCTGCCCCTCCATGTGCTTGAGAGCTCTCTCTCTCTTTAAAAAAAGAGAAAGAGAGAGAGAGAGAGAGAGACATCATAGATTCTAGGTGAGAGGATTTTCCCATAAAAAGATATAAAGGGTTAGAGTGCCTGGGTGGCTCAGTCAGTTGAGCATCTGACTCTTGATTTGGGCTCAGGTCACGATCCCAGAATCATGGGATTGAGCCCGAGTCGGGCTCTGTCCTCAGCACGGAGTCTGCTTGAGATTCTCTTTCTCCTTCTCCCTCTGCCCTTCCTCCCACTTGTGCTCTCTAAAATAAATAAAACCTTAAAAATATACATATAAAGGGTCTTAGAAATGTTCAGGGAAGGATGTGAAAAAAATTAGTCCTACTCTAGTTTTCCATTAGAAAAAGCCCAAATACAAAGAATTCACTAAGTTATTTTGATTCTTATATATTTGTCCGTTGAATCACTTGGTGGAGAGTATCAGAACGAGGTGCACAATTTTTATTGCATCTCGAAGATAAAGAGACAGAAGCCCAGGTGCAAGGTGGGCAGGATGAATATTCTAAAGTCACTGCGTCCTTGGACAGCAACACTTGCATATCCTGAAAACTTTTTTTAGCCACACCGTTTATCTTGAGCAGGGCAAGGGAAGGGCAATAAGAAATTACCACTATTGTCTCAGAGTTATGTGCATGTCCAGGGGAACACAATCTAAGGAGAGAGAGTGGGCAATGAATTATGTTCTTTTTCAATTTATGTAAAGATGAGTGGTCTATTAACTTCTAAGTTTCTTCTTGTGCTTTTTTTTTATATTTAGTGATTTGCATAGTTTTCTATTGTTCATTTAATCTATATTCAAACTTATATACAGATATACAAAACATTTAAACATACAAAGCATATAAACTGATATGTATGTATCATTGATTTCTGCCATTTTTCTTACCATTTCCTTCCTTTTCGGTTCTTTGGGTTTTTTCCTTTGTTAATTTTCTGTCTTTGAATTCTTTCTTCTTTTTTGATAAACATCCTCAGGGTATACCTTTGGCTCTAACTGTCCATGAGTTGGACACGCAGCATCTGGGTGGTGCTCATCCCATGCACTTTGGACTTTCTCTTGGTTTACTTTTTAACTCAAGGCTTATTTAGAATTAATTCATGTTCTTCCTGGAGCAATGCAAAGGAGACGAGTGCATGAACTCAAAAGGCCATCCCTGACAATGACATCAAGTTCTTCTCTGCACATGCCGAGGACTGCCTCCCTTCTCTAGAAGGATTTTTATTTTTTTTCTCTCTCTCTCTCTTCCAGGGACTATTTTCTGTTAGTTTTCCAGGTCTATTCACTTTCCTTTTGATCAGCTTTGAAGCAAGCCATCCTCAGTGTGTGTGCGTACTTGTATGGTTGGAGACGGTTTTTTCTGATGGCCCAGGGACAGTGAGTTTTAGGCTGCAAGCCAAAGGAAAGACATGCTGATGACTGAATTGCTTTCTTCCCTCCACTGGGCTCCATGATGCATTCACTGCAGGCAAGTTCCCACAGCCCCTCACTGAGCCGGTGGGTCTTTGGCACCTAATTGTCTGAGAAGAGGGTCTCTTACCAGACCCTCCCATTGCCAGGGTCTTGGCACTTGACTCCTGTTGTCTCCGTGCCCTGGGAGGCAGAAAACAAGAACAAATAATTTTTTTTTAAACGCTGGTATCAAATGTCTTCAGAGAAAAATCTGCCTTCATTGATCAGTTTATGCCTTTAGTAGCCCATCTCCACCAAACCCTTGGCCTGAATATTTCATTTTTCCTAGCAGATCATCCATGCTTTTAATGAAATAACTTACTTGATTGATTGATTTTTAGTTGGGGGGGGCAGAGGGGAAGGACGAGAATCTCAAGCAGGTTCCATGCCCAGTATAGAGCCAACACAGGGCTCCATCTCTTGACCCTGAGATCATGACCTCAGCTGAAATCAAGAGTCACATGCTTAACCAACTGAGCCACCCAGATGCCCTTAGTTTATTTCGAATACATTTCATCTAATATTTTTATCTTTTACAAAGAGATCAGTCCAAAAAATGAATTTTCCAGGCATTTGTGTAAATTCACTTATCCAACATTTGTCTAGGTGACCTTCAAAACCCTTATGAGTCAGCAACAGCCTTTTACTCTCCCTCACCCCCTTTTGGAACTGGAACTTCTGCAACAATGACCCAATGCCTGTCCCACCTCTGTATGGCAAGACCACTGGGGGCAAAGAGCTTGCCTCTGCTTTCACAAGTCCACAGATAGAGAAATACTATGCTCCAGTGTGACCATCCTTTCCATCTGTTTTAGATCATTTAGATGATTAAGATTTGTGACTTTAAGCTAATGAGATTTTGAGGAGGAGACAAAGTTGAGCTGATACTGTATTATAAGATGAGACTTTCAAGGAACCCTGGAAGGGGTTGAGTGTGTTTTGCATGTGGGTTGAATATGAATCTTTAAGGACTGGAGAGTGGACCATGGTAGCCAGAATCCTAAGATCACCCCCAAGATTCTGACCCCTAGTGTATACGCACTTTTTGCTAGTTATTCAAACGAACACTAAGCTAGGTGCTACCTCAAGAGATTTAGCAGATTTAAGTAGGGTCCCAAATCAGCTGGTCTTAAAATAGGGAAATTATCCAGGAAATAACCCCGCCCTTAAATCTGGGTCCAGAGGTCAAAGACCAAGCAGTTAGAGAGACTCAGTGTGAGAAAGTTCAATGTTAAGACAGATTCTTCCTGGCTGGTTTTGGAGCTGGAGGAGGCCATGTGACAAGTCACACGAAGCGTCTTGGAACAGTAAACAGCTCCCAGCTGACAGCAGGCAGGGAGTCAGCAACCTCCATTCTGCATCCATAGAAAACTGAGTTCTTCCAGTAACCTAAATGAGAATGGAAATGGATCCTTGCTGAGAGTCTTCAGCTGAGAACTCACCTGGACTGAACCCTTGAGTTTTAGCTGTTGAGACCTCGAGCAGAAAACCCAACCATACCATGCTAAACACTATGCTAAAACTTCTGACCTACAAAACTGTGAGTTAATAAATGGTTGTTGTTTTAAGCCATTATGTTTGCATAAAAAAATTTTTTTTTACACAACAGAAAATGAACACACTTTGTAAAGCCTATCTACAACAGAACCTTCAACAAAGCATTATCTGAAATGTACAAACATTAGAATCACTCCTTATATATCAGGAACACTGGTATAAAGTCCAGGGATGACTGGTGCAACCAACAATACGCTGGTGGTTCTGCTCCAAGGAGAACATGAAATTAAAAATCCGAGGGTAGCAAAAGAAGAAATAAAATCATTATTTGCATATTCCCAACATAGACAACTTCCCCAAATTAACAGAGGTATTTTTAAGAAATAGCAACTTTTGGCTAGCTCCTGGATATAGGATCTATCTTTAAAAGTCTAATCCATTTCTTTATACTAACCACAGGCAAATAAAAAATGTAACTAAAGAGACACCAAATTACCCTATTACCCTCCATTGGGTTGTAACAGTGTAGCTTCTCTCTTCTCCTCCTTGGGGCTGGCCAACAAATGTGCTTTTGGATCTATGCCAAACTGATACATGATCATAGTTTCTCAATATGTTTTAAAGATTTATCGAAGTATCATTACATTCAATAAAATCACAGATCTCGGGTGTACCCTCAAATGAGTTCTGACAAATGCATAGACTTGTGAGCAACACTCTTAGAACATTACATTACAGTTCCATTAGGTTCTTTCTGGTTCTCTTGCCTTGAGGGAATTGCTGTATCTAACCAAACAAATTAATTTTGTCTGTTTTTAAAAGTCATAAAAATAGATCTCTCTAGTATGCACTTTTTTTGGTGTCTAGCTTCTTAATCTGAGATTTTTTTTTTGAAGATTTTATTTATTTATTTGACAGAGATCACAAGTAGGCAGAGAGGCAGGCAGAGAGAGAAGAGGAAGCAGGCTTCCCGCTGAGCAGAGAGCCTGATGCGGGGCTCCATCCCCGCACCCTGGGATCATGACCTGAGCCAAAGGCAGAGGCTTTTTAACCCACTGGGCCACCCAGGCGCCCAAGCTGAGCATATTTTTGTTGACATTCATCTGATTGCTGAGTGTGTACTTTCTTCCTTTACATTTTTGAGTAACGTCCATTGTATTACTATAACACGGTTCATTCTGAACATTCAGCTATTTTGAATAAAGCTGCTATAAACATTCTGGTACAAGTCTTTTTGTAGACCTATGTTGCTATTTCTCTTGGGAAAATGCCATTTGTTGAAAAAGGCTTTATTTTCCTCTGCTATATTGCATTTAGTGCATTTATTCAAAAGCGTTTGACCATGTCTTTGCATCTGTTTCTGGACCCCCTACTCTCTTCCACTGATGAATTTGTTTGGCCTTACACAAACACCATGCTCATTATTCTAGCTTGAAACTACCTCAAAAAGTAATTACATTTCTTTTAAATGTAATTTTCCTCTGCAATGTGCTTCTATGACTATTCACACACTATTGATACAAATTTAGAGAATGAAACAGTTTCCGTGAAAGAAAGTCTTTGTTGTTATTAAGGGGACTTACTTCCAAGACTAACCCAGAGTACTTGTAAGTAGTCCCATTAATGAGACAAAGTATCTGGAGGACTGGTTTAATTTTCTGAGACATTCTTTTTGGGATTATATGGTAGGAAGTTATTGGACTATTATAACAATCACATAGCTTCTTATTGTATCATAATTTCTTAAATGCCATTAAGTACAATGAAATTTTAAATTTAATAATAAAAAAATTAATTAATATCTAGGGTTCCATAACATAATACTATATGTCAGCTACACTTGAAAAAAATATATGATATATATAACTGATTCTGTATATATATATATGGTTCCATACATATATAATATATATTATATATATGGTTCCAAATTTCTGAGTGCCCTTCCTGAAGCTGCTGTATGGTTTTATCTCAGCTGTGTTAACAACGGACACTTTGTTTTACTTCTTAGTTCCAAATTTTTGTTCCTTCCGCTACGGATTATCTCTCCTCTTGCATTTCTGCAATGTCATAATAACCGCACATCACATGTGTCTGAGCCTCACAATGGTAGCCATGGTGAACAGCACAGACGCTCATGGTTTGGCCAACACCACCACAGAGGAACACCTGGATCACAATAAGGTATATAAAAAATATTGTCTATAGTCACAAGTTTAAAATCCTCTCTTGCTAATCGATTTGTGTGGCAATCGAATGTTACCATAATTGATGTGATAGTAATCATTAGAAAAAGAAGTTCAAGACTTTATCTACCTTGCTAGTAGTAACCTAACTAAACATGCCCCATGATTACAGCACACCTTATATTTGTGAAGGGCTTTGTTATGTGAATCCTTCTATGTGAAGAAGAATAAAAACCAAGCATCAGGGTTCCTAGAATTAAGGAGTTTAGATAAGAGAAAAAAAGAGAAAGCATTTCAAACCAGAGTGGAAGTAAAGATACATTGTTTCTTCAAAAGTTTTTGAGTATGTGGTATATTTACATGTTTCTCTAATTTCATCTCTGGAAGGTAATGAGTTGCTACTTATCAGAAGATATAGAATAGGAAAAAAATGGAAACGAATGGGAAGGATATTTTTTCATTCTACTGTTCCCATGTTCTGTTATGAATGCACAGGCAAGCATGAGCAGTTTCTTATTTTCAACTTTTTTACATTAAAAATCACACTTTATATGCAATGTATGGCACCTTAATTTTTTTTTCATAATCAACAGAACCAGGCTTAGATATGACACAGATGTAGGAATTCCCATATACGGAATTTAAAATAACTATAATCAATATGTTAAGGCTCTAATGGAAAAAGATGGCAACACAACACCAGATAGGTAGTATCAGTAGAGATGGAGGCTAAAAAAAGAAACAGAAATCAAGGCAACTGTAACATAAAGAATGCTTTGACACGCTCCCAAGTACTCTCAACATAGCTGAGGGAAGAATCAATGAACTTTAATATGGGTCAATAGAAACTTCTCAAGCTGAAATGAAAGAGAATGGAGGAGTTGGGAGGGAAACTTAAGAGAATATGCCAAAATTGTGGAGAATATCAACAGGTATAAGGGGCACCTGGGTGGCTCAGTTGGTTAAGCATCAGACTCCTGCTTTTGGCTCAGGTCATGATCTCCCAGTTATGACATCTGGCCCCATGACAGGCTCCACACTCAGTAGGGAGTCTGCTTGAGATTCTCTCCCACTCCCTTTGCCCTTCCCCCACTCTCTCTCTCAAATATATCTAAAAAAGTGGTGGCGTAATATATAAATGGCTAGAATACCAGAAACAAAAGAGAGAGAGTGGCAAGAAGTAATATATGAAAAATCAATGGCTGAGAACTTTCCAAAATTACTAGACAACCAAACCACAAATCCAAGAAGCTCAGAGAACACCAAACAGGACACTAAAAGATAAACAATTAACAAGAAAAACCAAATAAGCATACATATTTACGCTGCAGAAAACCAAGACAAAGAGAATATCCTGAATGAAGCCAGAGGGGAAAATATCTAACAAGGGTAAGAATTACAGAAGACTTCTTATCAGAAGTCATTCAAATAAGAAGGGACAGAAAACACTCTTTCATGTGTTGAAAGAAAAAGAATCTGCCAAGTTAGAATTCTATATCCAATGAAATTACCGATAGACTATTTCAGACAAATAAAAACCGAGGTAATTTATTGCCAACAGGCCTGACGTAAAAGAAATGTTAAAAGATGGCAGATTTTAATCCAACTCTATCAACTTTATTTATTTATTTATTTATTTATTTATTTATTTTATTTTAAGAGAGAGAGCACCTGTGAGCAGGTGTGGGGGGAGAGGCAAAGGGAGAGAAGGAGAGAGAATCTTAAGCAGGCTCCACACCCAGCATGGAACCCAACACAGGCCTCAATCTCACGACCCTGAGATCATGACCTGAGCCTAAATCAAGAGCTGGACCCTTAGCTGGCTGAGCCATCCAAGCACCCCTCAATAATCACTTTATTTTTACTTATTTTTTTTATAAAGATTCTTATTTATTTATTTCAGAGATAGAGCACGGTGGGACAGGGCAGAAGAAGAGGGGAGAGAGAAACTCAAGTAGACTGCATGCTGAGTGCACAGCCCCATGGGGGACTTGAACCCACAACCCTTAGATCAGACCTAAGCTGAAACCAAAAATATGTTCATCAATAGATAGATATGCATCAACTATGGTACCTCCATAAAACAGAGTATGACTTAGCACTAAACAGAAATGAACTAGTGACACACAGAACAACATGGATGAAACTCAAAATAAGTATGTTGAGTGGAATAATCTATATACCTAGTGCATGACTCCATTTATACAAAACTTCCAGAAAATGAAAATGATGTCATAGCGACAGGCAGATCAGTGGTGGGAGAAAAGGAGGGAGGAATTATAAAAGAAGTAAGGCAACTACTGAAGGTAGATAATGCACTCGTTGTCTTGATTGTGGTGATGATTTTGTGAACATACACAAAATTAAAAATTTATCAAGTTGTATGCTTTATAACGTTATAAAGATTAAATATGAAGTTCACTATGTCACTTGTCCCTCAAAAATCTTTTGAACTCTTTTAATCCAAATTTTCTCTTGAATTATATTCTTTAAATATTTGTACTATTCCAATGCTTTGGTTTCAATATTGAGAACCATGTTCTAGAGAAATATCTCCTCCAGGGGCCATGTACTGAATCCTTCACCATAGCAAAAAAGGAGGGAGCTCGAGCTGTGGAGGTCCTATAGAACCTCCCTCTGTAATGCAGGGAAACCGATCTCCTTCAAATGTGAGTCACAGAAAAGGAATTCTCTTTGCTGCCATGCAAAGGCATTAGATGAAAAAAATGAAAAAATATAGCATGTAATTATTCCCAAATATGAAGACTCGCCAGAAAACTCTTTCCAAAGAGCAGATCTAAATTGTAACCTGAAATTACAAAAGGAACCCAAAAGCTCATGAAGCAATTATAGTTACGGAAGGAGTCACCACAGGGAAGAACATACAGCAGCTCAAAATCAAGACGGTCAGGCAACAGGAGGCTATGCTCTGGCCATAGACAAATGAAGACGAGCAAGCTGGCAGAACTCAGGGAAGGATTATGGAAAAACAAGACATTTAGAACGTTTTAGAAAAGAAGAGACACCAAACCAAAAAAGAGAGAGAAATGGCTTTCTCCCTTCACTGTTTCCATCCAACCATTTCCAGTTCAGCCCCTGATCGTCTTTTTGTGATTTGATCTATCACTATTTCCTCTCTCTGGGAGTAGCCTGGATGTGGGGGAATGTTGTTTTGTGGATGAGGTTAACTTACTGGAGGAGTAAGAGGACAAGAAAAGGCAAGAGGACATTCATGACTGCGGTGGGTGTAGTCCTCTACAGAAGGGCTGACGTGCAGCGTGGCAATGTTCCGGAGACAAGTAATAAATGTCCATGCTGTCCTGGGGCCACAGAGGGTGCTCTCGATGGCAAGGACTTTACATTATAGTTGAAGATTCCACTGTTACATGACAGTACACACAGGAAAAGATGTGTCGAAGGAACAGCAAGGATCCCATGATGAGAATGAGGCAGAGGGGAGCTCTGTGGGCTGGTAGAGCAGGTCCCTCGCATCTCTATCGCAGTAACTCACAGGATGCAGAGTGGCTCCATGTGTCTCCTTGTTTCTTTCAGAACCCCGTGTATAACTGGAACCCCCAAATCCAGGGCTTCATCTTCAGTTCCATCTTCTATGGTGCACTCATCACCCAAATTCCTGCTGGATACTTGTCTGAAAAATACTCCATCAGGAAAATTATTGGCTTTGCATTCTTCCTCAGCTCTCTGCTTAGCCTGTTAATGCCGATGGCAGCTGAAGGTGGAGAAGCTTTCCTCCTGGCATGCTGGGTAGCCCAGGGAGCAGCCCAGGTATTCAGATAAAGCAAATCCTGAACAGGGTTTAAATTCACAGGAAGTATCTGAAATCAGATGTTCCAATCCTTCTGATTGCAGGGGTCGGTATCCATAGCTCAGCATGTCATGTGGGTCAAGTGGGCTCCTCCCTTGGAACAAGGCCTACTCACCTCCCTGAGTCTATCAGGTAATGACGTAAGGCCTAGAGTGTTTGAATCCTGCTGCCATGTCATTCTGTCATGTGCTCCTTAACCTGTAAAAGATGTGTCTTTTGAAGTGTCCAGGGCTTTGGAAACCATCTGTTCCAGCATCCTTGCTTTAAAGATATGGAAACTGTCTAGAATAAAGAAAAGCCTTCTTTATCTCAAACAACAGAAAAAAAAAGGAAAAAATATTTCATTCTTTTCTGCTTTACATTCAGTATTCTGCTTTATGAATGTATTTCTCTGGAAATTGTTTATTGCTACCGTGAGGCTATGTTATCTCTATTCTCAGATGCCTATGTTCCTTACGGGTGTTCTTTGTGTCCTCTGATTAGGAGTTCTGCTGGGGTCCTTCATTGTTCTGCTTGTGACTGGATTCATATGCCAATCCCTGGGCTGGCCCATGGCCTTCTACATTTTTGGTAAGTCTCTTTCTATAACATCCCAGTCATTATTCAGAATTGAAAAAAAAATTAAAAGTAAAAACTATCAGGTAATAATTTATATAAAGCTAATGACATTTAAAATCATGAACCTCATTGAAAGAAAGAGAGAAGGCAACATTCATTAATTTCACATTACAAGCAGAACTATATATGTGTTATTGTACATAAGCTCTGCAATTCTATCATGTAGGTACTAGAGATTCATACCCCTCATAGGAAACCCTTGGGAAAAGGGATGAGCCACTACTGTTCATAAAAAGGAGCATACAGACTGAAGCAATGCTACGAAGGAGTTATGTCAGGGAAGACCCCCCAATCTCACTCAACTCTCTTCCTTACCTTCTTCTCAGGCTGCTTGCCATATCAATCTAGAAAGCAGAAAGCACAGGCACCTGTGATGTTCCTTCAAGCCAGCCATCTGTGACCAATGCAGGATACAGAAGGGTGAACAGTGGGTGTAGAGGGACAAACGGAAGACACCCAATGCACACGGCAAGCAAATGGCAAAGCCACAGTGTGGAAACGTGCCTCGAGTCCTCCAAATTCCATTGCTCTTCATCACTAATTTAGTCATCAGTAGTAAGTGATGATGAGTATAGTCACAGTACCCAAACCCTGCACGAGGAAGGGGGCCAAAAGAATTGGGACTGTCTAGCCTGGGAGAAAGAGCATGCGTAGATGAAAAATGCACACCTGCTCTGTATTACAAAATTAGAAGTAATCAGAGAAATAACAGGGAGCTGAGGTTTGCGCTCCTTGAAAGACAAGCTCGATAATTAATGCTGCCCATCAGCGCTGATCAGAGGTTGGACGACCTCCAACACTCATGGCATATTCATATTCCAATGTCATAAACATGTGCACAGTGACATAGGTCATTTGCTGATCTCCCGGCTGGCTCCATGAAGCTCAGAGAGAGGCACTATGCGTTGCCCTGGGTCAGGAGCTTTCCTATGAACTGCCTCAGATGGAGGCGCTGGAATGGGGGAAAGGCTTAGAGGGTAGCAGGGTAGGGATTTAGGCATCTGCCTCCACAAGTCTTTACGGTGAGGCATCACACCATGCCCACAGAGGCCAAATGGCCAGCCCCCATTTGTGGCAGAGGCAAGAGGAAAACAAAATGGTTTTGTTCCATCTGAAGGTTCTTCTCAATCTTTATTATTCCCCATAAATAATGATAATAATAAATAAATTAGATCCACACCACTTTAAAGAACAAAATAACATCTGCCTTCGAGCAGCTTCTAATTGCTGGAGAAAAGTTCCCAGAAGAGCAAATGGGATCATAAACTCACATTTGTGCTTAAAACAGCTGTCCAGCCTGCTAAGTTTCCCTCCACAAGGACTATTTTGAACTTCTCAAAACTTCTCTAGTCTCCTCAAATCTCAAAAATGGCTCCCTTTTGCCTGCCTTCTCTTTCATGTCACCTCCCTTTGAACAGTGGAAATTATTGCGCATCCTGTCCTTACCTACTACCCCACCCTTCCACACCTCTCAACTTCTGACTTGTGTCTGACCCATTCTGCCATTTATTTATTTATTTATTTATTTTTGTTTAAAGATTTTATTTATTTATTTGACAGAGAGAGATCACAAGCAGGCAGAGAGGCAGGCAGAGAGAGAGGAGGAAGCAGGCTCCCTGCTGAGCAGAGAGCCCGACGCGGGGCTCGATCCCAGGACCCCGAGACCATGACCCGAGCCGAAGGCAGCGGCTCAACCCACTGAGCCACCCAGGCGCCCCCATTCTGCCATTTAGACATTAATTTACTTGTGAGTATGTGAGAGAGAGCACAAATAAGGGGAGTGGCAGGCAGAGGGAAAAGCAGACTCCCCTCTGAGCAAGGAGTCTGATGTGGGACTCGATCCCAGGACCCTGGGATCATGACCTGAGCTGAATGCAGACGTTCAACTGACTGAGCCCCCCATGTGTCTCATCATCAAGATACCTCTTGACAAGATCATTTGTGGCTTCCCTCAGAGCTGCCCTGATTCCACACTGAGCCCATTCTTGGCCCCCTCCAGCCAGGCCCTCTGTGTGGTCTGTGGGGTCAAGATTATACACTCTCCAGAGCCCATGTCCATCACTCCTAGTCATCACTCCCAGAATTTTTAGCTCAAAAACCACCAAGGCTTTTCAGACTTCTTAGTACTCTTCAGCACATCCACTGAATTTAGACTTGGCCAACGAGGGGCAGGCAAAACTGCTTGCAGATGTAAATGGAGTATGATGGGGAAGGCAAGAATTCCGACAAATAACCAATTGAAACTTCTAATGGTGTGGGAACAGATCTGGGTAGGAACAGGAAGTCAAGCCTCAGACCACAGTGACCAGGGATTTGTGACCAGTGGAATCTAAGAATTCTAATTTTAAACCTCATTCTTCCTCAGGTTTCTTTAAAAAATTTTGTCTTAGGTTTTCTGTAGTTTGAATATAATATGCCTTGGTGTAAATTTTTTTGTATTTACCCTTTTGGTGTTGAGTTTCCTGTCTCTGTGGTTTGGCATCTATCATTAATTTTGGAAGACTCTAATTAATCCTTCAAATATTGCTCCTCTTCTTTCTCTTTCTTCTCCTTCTGATAGTACCATATGTATATATTACACTTTTCATAATTGTCCCATAATTCTTGGATACCTGTCATTTTTATTCTTTTTCTTTGCAATTCAGTTTTGGAAATTTCTACAGACATTTCTTCAAGATCAGTGATTCCTTCCTTGGCCATGCCTAGTCTATTGATGGGCTCATTAAAGGCATTTTTCATTTCTAGGTTAGTGTTTTTCATTTCTAGCATTTCCTGTTGATTTTCTTCTTAGTGTCTATCTGCTTATAGGAATCATATATTCTTGTGTGTTGTCCCGTTTTTCTATAAGAGCTCTTAGCAATATAATCATGGTTGTTTTAAATACTTGATTTGATAATTCCAACATCTCTACCATTTCTGAATCGGTCCCAGTGCTTGCTGTCTTCAAACTATATTTTTTTGTCTTTTAGGAAACCTCGTGATTTTTTTGTTGTTGAAAGCTCCATAAGATGTACTGGATAAGAGGAATGGAAACAGTCTTTCAGTGTGAGGTTTTATGTTTATCTGGCTTTGCTAGGGGTTAGGCATTGCTTGTTGTGTTTTAGCTCTAGTTTCAGAGATTACAATTCCCTCTTTTTTTTAACAGTATTCTTAAATGAGGTTTGACACATGCAGTTTTTCCTTTTGTATTCCCATTTTTATACAGGGAAACTGCTGATGTGGTGGTAAGGTGACTGTGGGGAAGACAGTGTTCTATAGTCTTATGGTTACTCTCAGTCTTTTGGTAAGCCTGTGCCTCTGGGCTTCACCTTCAGAAGTCCTTCCCAGTATTCTCCCCATTAGGTAAGACAGGAAGGCTGGGGGGAGTAGCAGTTGAGTATTTCCTCTCATGTAAGCTGGTTAGACTCTGGTAGATGTTTCCCTTCATAGCAGGCTTTGTTAAGAACAGAATGCTCTAGGCATAATTCAAAACAGCCACTTTTCCTTTCTCCTGCTAAAAGGATGTAGGAATTTTTGTCTGATCTTCACTGTGAGAACCTGGCTAGGTCTCCTGAAGGTAGAACTCTCAAAAGTATGAGGATCCCTCCAGGATTCCCCCCACCCCAGATCTTTTTAACTCTCAAACTTGTCCACACAGCCTACTGCTTAATTGCCAGGATTAATCAATTCCCAGGCTTTCTTACCGTGGTACTTGTTCCCATGCAATTTTCAGCTTCCAGGCTTCTGTTCCAGGAAGTTGTGAGTCTCTGTATCCACCTGTCTGTCTCTTCAATTTTGGGTACAGTAATTTGCCCTATGGCCTCAATTTTCTGAGACCAAAGAAGAGTTGTTGATTTGTTCAACATTTTTCTTAGCATGAGGATGGGAGGGATGACTATCCAGTTCCTTACATGCTGGGTAAGAAACCAGAAGTTTCTCTCCAGGTCATTTTGAAGTTACATTTTTGTCAACATAGGATAAGAAGACACACTTTAAGTTTCTTAATAAATCTGCAACTTAAACATTCATGTGGATTTCCATGTCTCGTCTTGCCCTAGGCCTCACAAATGTTAGAGCTGGCCAAACCTCCATGCCCATAAGCTAGATGGAAGTTCTCTGGTCCACATTTGACCTGAGCTCTCAAACACATCTATCACCAGTGATACCTATGCCTCACTCCCTGCCCTGGACCCTGTTCTTCTGGCCATTCTGTCTCAATCTTTTGCAAACTCATCCTCTTCTACTTCCATTAACTCTTGTCTTTCTTCAAAGCTGCCAGGCTGCTCCTCAAGGACTGTACTCCAGCCCTAAAAATATAATTCATGCTAAGTGTCAATTACCACTCATTAACCGTGTGTCCCGGGGCAAGGATGGGACCTTTCTGAACATCCAAAATCTCATTTGGAAAAGTTCCTGAGTCGACTGAAATCATATATTGAAATGTACATATTACACATGTATTTATTAGATAGTCACTTCTCTCCATTTACATTTTGCCTTGGGACTGGGTACTCAGGTCACAGAATGACATGGAAAGAGTATACAGTAGAAATATCCTTTTAATGCTGTTGAAAAGAGTACTGTAAAAGTCTAAGATCTTACAGTGGTTCCAGGTTTCCACATGGTCTGATCCTATCACCTCTTGTCCTCAACCTTTCCCACCATCCCCTTGTTTCCTCTCCAGTCACACTGGCCTCATGACCTAGGCCTTCTGCACTCTCTGCTCTCTCTGTCTGGAATGTCCTTGCCCCATATCCATGTCCCAGTCTTTACTGAGCATGACACTCCCCACCCCACCCCTGACCCCATAACTTCTCTCCATAGCTCTTATCACTGACATTTAATACTTTTTACTTATTTACTTTTCATCATCCCTTTCTCATCCACTAGAAAGTAAACTCTATGAAGACAGAATTTTTGTGTTTTATTCATTGCTACATCCCCAGCATGTAAAACAGTGAATGGTACATCATGAGCATTTAATCAATATTTGTCAAATGAATGAATGCATTTCCGGAAGACTGACTGGGTAGTACATACTCCCTGGTCCTAACACATGATTCCTCCCAGAGGACTTGTATAATCCCCCCAGCCTGGGCTGAATCTTAAGAGCATGGCCAAGACGTAGCTCTCAAAGGTAGGTGATTGTCAAGCCCTGTGAGGGCTCAGCTGTGCCACATTCTCACAGTGGAAACACACTGGGAAACTAAAGAGATGAAGGCCTAAGAGTAGGGAGTCCCACTATGATGACTGGAGGGATACAGAGTCTTGATCAGGGGAGGCTAGAGGGCTTCCCACGCTCTCTGCAAAACTCACACTGTAAGCAGAGGCAGTTGCAGATCCAGAGAGGACTTTCAAAAACATAAGCCTTGTTGCAAAGTTCTGAAGAAGAGGAGGTCCAGGTTCTCTGACTGATAATGACAAATGCCAATTTGGGAAAGAAACTTACTACAGACAGAAGCAATTTCGATTCTAACCTGTCCTGCTTTGATAGGTGCTTGTGGCTGTGCCCTAAGTCTTCTCTAGTTTGTTCTGTTCTATGACGACCCAAAGGACCACCTGTGTATAAGCATCAGTGAGAAGGAATACATCTTGTCCTCCCTCAGCCAGCAGGTAGAACACAGATGCTCCACTGTGGTATCTCCCAGATTCTGTGACGAATGAAACCGTGTTCCCACTTGTCCTAATGTGCTAACAGTTAAAGGGTTTTGTTTTTTGTTTTTGTTTTGCTTCCAGGTCAGCTCAAGGACACAGTCTCTGCCAGTCAAAGCTATGATTAAGTCTCTCCCAGTCTGGGCCATTGCTTTAGGTTCCTTTGCTTTTCACTGGTCAAATAATATCATAGTTTTGTACACTCCAACATTTATCAACTCCAAGCTTCGTGTGAATATAAAAGAAGTAAGTCAACCTGTGTTCTCCTTTTAACTTTATGAAGGACTCTGCTCATTTCTTTGTTTCTTAGGACTCTAATCCTAGCTCTTGCTCGCCCCTACACTGTTTAGCTGACATTCTGTACCTGGAGACTCACTGTTTCCAATTCTTACATTAACATTTCCCAGAACAAAGTGCGTAGGCACAGTATCTGGCCCTTCCACAACAGACACACTCATGTTCCCAGAGGTTCCCTACCTCCCATTCACTGCATGATCACTCTTATTAGTATTAATTAAGGCTCAACACCATCATTCCCTACAGAGACTGGGATCCTTCCATGACATCCTTCCCAGCTCACAACCAATCTATTTCCTGGGATAAGGCAACAAGTCCTGATTTGAGAACCCATGACTCAGGTTTTGCTTTGAAAAGATGGGCACTCACATTGCTTGTCTGACTTGGAAAACCACTCTTCCCTGAACATTATGTTCAAGGCCATAATAACCAAAAAGACCCCTATAGAAATGGAATGCCCAAAGTGCCATGCATTAGCCAGCCTCCAGTAACCCAGCCTCAGGGCCAGTGCTCTCTGATTCAGTGTTACTCTTCGTGAGATCATGGATGGTTTGAAAGGATTAAGAGCAGTGGTTCAAAACAAGCACCATACGAATGTCTGTAATCGCTGTCATTACTAGCTCTACCATCTTGCCTAGGGCCTGCATTCCCCATTCCTGACTATAGTCTTCCAATCTTGATGCTCCAGTACTTTCAGGTCCTGTGACACTAGGAAGAGAACACTGGACAGACTCTGACAACTCTTCCTGACCCCAGAACTTTTCCTCTTTCTTATGGGTACTGTGGCCCCGAGTGGGAATCCTGAGGTTGCACGTTGATGGCTGCTTATATGGCAATTACAAATTTTCAGTACTTTAGTGTCAGGGTGACTCTACCTATCATACTCACCCTCATATTAACATTTACTTCCCAGAACGGGCTGCTGTCAGCCCTCCCCTCTTTGTTTGCCTGGAGCTTTGGTATCCTAATAGGTCACCTGACAGACTTCTTCCTGTCCAGGAATATTCTCCGCTTAGTTACCATACGGAAACTCTTCAACACACTAGGTAAGGAACAGCCAGGATGTTCAAGCACCTTGTGGCCCGTTGCCCTGTCTTTGGGATGCCCCTAACTGTGGGGTGTGAATCCCTCCCCAGGACTTCTCCTGCCTCCCTTCTTCAGCGTGTGCCTGCTCTACTGGAGTTTCAGCTTCTTTAGCATTACCATCTTCCTGATACTTGCCAGTTCAACAGGAGCCTTCTGTATGGCCGGAGTACTCATAAATGGCTTGGATATTGCTCCCAGGTAAGGTTTTACAAATCTCTTTCCTGCACCTAAGCTCTCGAGGGTGTTTTAAGATTCCAACTATTTCTTGTTCGTGGCCAGCAGGCCAAAATGCTTCCAGAAGTAGCATCAATATAGTTCATTCATATAATGTAAGTAATCATTAGATCCCTAATGATAATATTAATGTTTGCAACTCATACATGCACACATATGTGTGTGTGTATGTATGTATACGCACACATAGTATAGCCCAGTGATTCAGAGCACAGATTCTAAAGTCAGAAGGCCCAGTTTAATAACAGCATGACCACTCTCAAACAAATTACTTACCTGCTCTGGGCCTGTTTCACACCTATAAAATGGGAATGATAAGGGAATGCTTACCTCATAGAGTTATTAGAGGGTGAAATAAGTTAATTTAGGTCAAGTACACAGAATAGTGTCTGGCCCATAGCAAACACTGATACGGGGTACCTGCTTCCCACTGCCCTTGTTATTGAATGTATGTTTATATATTATGACTCCTCATGACAACCCACCAGGGTTGGATTAAGGAAACTGAGGGTCAGATACTTGTCAGCCTAAGATTTTACCACTGGTTTGGGATCTTACCTGGGAGTTTAATCCAGATCTATCTGCAAAGATCTCTTGCTTTTACTGGGATGCTTTTTTTTTTTTTTTTTTTTTTTAAAGATACACTAAGTGGGGTGCCTGGGTGACTCAGTCTTAAGCTTCTGCCTTTGACTCAGGTCATGATCCCAGAGTCCTGGGATCAAGGCCCACATGAGGCTCCCTGGCCGGCAGGAAACCTGCTTCTTCCTCTCCTACTTCCCCTGCTTGTGTTCCCTCTCTCTCTGTGTCTCTCTCTGTCAAACAAATAAATAAATAGTCCTAAAAAAAAATAAAAAGAGATACGCTAAGTGTGACTGATGGAAGCAGCCTGGCCATTTGCACAACTCTGGGGGCACTGTTTACATTATGCTTTATAGGACTAGTAGTCCTGGAGAACACGGATGCAGTAGGAACAGAATTCTCTGAAGTTTAGCAAAGCAGTGGCCGTGGGGTAGAGAGGTGAAATCAACAATGAATAATCTACTTATCTGGATTCTTATAAAGAGTCTTGTCCATTACATCTACACGAGGTGAGTGCCAGAGTAATGAGGACATGAGTTCACTTGTTTTGCTCGGTTCCAAGACCCTTCTTTAAAATGCCCACTGGTATCCTGATTACTTGGAATTATATCAAAACATATAAGGATTATTTGATACAGAAAGCACAGTGTCAGCTGAGCCATATGCAGTTTGAAATCAAGAATGTATTCAGAAATAGGGGTGCCTGGGTGGCACAATCGGTAAGCATCCGACTCTTGGTTTTGGCTCAGGTCATGATCTCAAGGTACTGGGATCGGGGCTCATGTGGGGCTCCATGATCAGTGCAGAGTCTGCTTGAGATTCTCTCTCCCTCTCTCTCTGCCCCTCCTGCTCATGCTCTCTCTCTCTAAAACAAACACATCTTTAAAAAAATAAAGAATGTGTACAGAAATAGAGAAAGGAAATTACAAGTAGCTAGGATTTACAGAGTACTTTTTATGTGCCTGTCATGCCCCAGTGTAAATGAGGTATTACCCACCTAGTATGGGTGGGGAAGCAAAAGACCAAGAAAAGAATTTATGTAAATCACACAGCAATAAGCACTGAGCACTACGTATGTCTGCTTCTGTGGCTGACTAGCTGTACTCACTCCATCAACAGGGCTATTTGCTAGCATCTGGTCAGTAGAATATGAAATAATCTCAACCAGCAATGGCTTGAATTATACAGGGCTTGGTCTGAGTCGCATCATTCCAATGGACCCAAATTCCCTATCAGCCAGGTAATTTTGTAGTCAGAGAGAATAAATACACTAAGATACAAACTGGAAAAAAATTCTTAGTCTCTTAAACTAGTTCATCCTCAATCTTTAGGGCATATATGTGTTATAGGTCAACCATACCAATTTGTATTGCTTAAACTATTGTTTATTAACGGGATGGAGACCAAACTTATTTAAGCAAAACATGTTCCTAATCATATACCTCCCTTGCCTAGTATAGACAGCTCCCTTAGAGAATAAATTTCTAATTTGTCTTCTCAGGGAAATTCAGTCTTTGTTAGAACTAAAGAGGAGTCTGTCAGGGATTACATATGTTGGAGCAGAACAAAGGTGGCAGGAAAAAAGGTCTGGAAGGAAAAAGAAACACACATGTGATTTTATGAAGATATTGTTTGAGAAATAATATTGAGGGAGACAGAGACCTAAGAATGGAGTGGCTGCCATCACTTTGGTGGACAGTAAGAGTAGGAAAGCACAGAGAACTCTGAAGAGTTCTGTAATGCATTAAGAAGAACCTGTCATTGCCTTGACATTCTTAAATGGAGGCTCCAAAAAAGACTAATTGCTTTTCATTATTTTTAACTGATTGGATGGATTGTACACCCTTGAATTTCCCTCCATAGTAGGGTTCAGACATCAGAATCTTATTTGGGCTCTACTAAATCATAGTATGCCAAAATATGAAATCAATAAAAATTGATTGTCAATAAAATTGAAAGTCTACTTTAATGGCTATTTAAACTTCCAAAATGTCTCTTCCCATGGGCTCTTGCTGCTGAAGGATAAGCCAATTTAGAGCTCACTGTTGTCCAGAAAATTATTCTGCATTAGAACAACCTTTGTTTTCACTCTCCACATCACATACCTACCGTTTGAGGACTGAATGGTATGAGGATTAGACCATAAAACGTTACCACCTACTCTCAGATCAGAAGAACTGCTCTACCCTGTGGATGAGTAATGGTTTTCAGAGGAATTGTCAAGGCACTCAGGCTTCTTGACACTGAGGATTCTGTTTATTTCTCTAACTACAGAATGAAAGTAAAATTTCATAGTAGTAGTAGTAAAATTGCTAAAACTAGAAAGGCAGGGAGGGAGAAAGAGAGATCTCTTAAACATAGCCATATGCAAAAGGCACATTGCTTTCAAAGAAGAAATAATAAGACTGGGAGTTGCCCTCTCAAGAGAAAAAAATGAAAGCTAGAAGCCAATCTCTAATATGAAAAAAAGAAAATCACCATTAATTAGAGGTCTATATCCAGCGAAAAGTTCAAGAATTAAGGTAATATAAAAATATTTTCAGGCAAATTGTGGGAATTCATCAGCAAAGACCTCCAATGAAAACTTGTTAAATGGGAATTTTTTGGACAGAGGCAAAATAATCACAGATAAAGCATAGAAATTTAGGAACAAATAAAGATAGATGGAGAGGGAAAAAAATAGAGTAAATCTAGTAATTACTGAATTCATAAAAGGAAAACAACACCTCATAGGATACAAAATATATGTAAATTAAAATGACAGTAAAAAGCACAAAAGATGAGATGATATAAATATGTGTCCTAAGGTACTTTCATTAATGGGAATTTATAAAAATATTAAGTCATGTTAAACTAAAATATATCAAGAATACCTGTATTAATCTCTAGGGTAACTACTGAAGGTTAGTAAAAGTGCAAAGGAACTGATACTTTAAAAAAACAAAGAAAAAGAAATCAAGAACACTGTTTAAAAAGGAGCATAAAATAGGTGGAAAAAGCCAAATGAGGTTCATTTTAAGTCAAATGTATCAGAAAAACATAAAATATAAAAGGACTATATCTTCCAAATTTTGAGTTAATCTGAATGGAAATAAAAGCAAAAACAAAATGTAGCAGATTATAAACAAAATAAAGGAAAACAGATCAGTCAATCTAGACTTTAAGGCAAGATGCATTACTAGAGAGAAAGAATTTTTTAAAAATCACTTTAATTCACTAGAAGATATAATATTCTAAATTTCTATGCACCTAACATTTTACAACTGTAAAGCAAAATTTGAGAAAACTGTTCAACTTCCACATAGGATTGGGCAGCTGTGGATGACTGACATTCCAGCTGGGAAAAATCTGAAAAGACCAAATAAAATGCCAAAAGTAGGGGTGCCTGGCTGGCTCCCTCAATGTAGTGTGTGACTCTTGATCTCAAGATTGTTCAAGATCAAGGTTTTAGCCCCACACTGGTTATAAAGATTACTTTAAAAATTTAAAAAATAAAATAAAATAGCCAAACTATTCACTAAAAGTCATCAGATAACATCCAAGGCCTATAAGACCAAAGAAACAAGAGGATAGCACCTCTAAGGTGAGCTGACCATTCTCACCTCTTTTCCCTGGAGTCATTTGACAAAAGGCTGGTAATCCAGGGTTGGCCCGGAGAAGCCTGCTGCTCTGGATGGAGAAATTAGTGAAGCATTTGGGTTGCACAGGGCTGGAGTGATAATGTTAAAATTAAGGGAGCTTAAACATAAAGTCAATTTCTTTCTTTGAGACAGTTATTGAATTCTGAAGTTCAATGGGGCAAGTGGCCAAACAAACAAACAAACAAAACCCACAAAACCAAACTAAGCCAAGACCATGAGAAGTATGGCAGAATTTCCTATACTGTCTATACCAAGGAGACAAGAACTACCAACCCCTGGAGGGAACCGGTTGGATATACTGAGCTCTCCATTTAACAACATGGAAGGCAATACCTAAGCAACTGGGGGGAAGGGTAACTACAGGCTTTGAGTCTTATCAATACTGAAGCCTAACCTCATCTCAGTTCATTCACTAATTAGATTAAAGTGATCCATTCCCTCCCCTCTAAGTCTATTTATTAGAGAAAAGAGTAAATCTTCTCTTACAAAGCATAACACATTCTTGAAGTCCCTATACATCTTATTAAAAATGTCCTGCATTTAATAAAAATTACTAGGCATGACAAGGGATAGGGCCATGTGGTCAATAACTACAGAATGCATTAGAAATAGTCCTACAACTGAAACAGATATTAAAGTTATCAGGAAGAAAAACTTTGAAATATCTATGATTAATATACCCAGGAAACCAGGGGAAAAACTGAAGAAATGAGAAGAAAAGGTAAAGAACTTGACCAGTATTAGAATCTATAAAAACAATCAAATGGAAGTCCTAGAACTGAAAAAATAAAATATCTGAAACTGAGATCTTAATAAATAGGTTTAATGACAAATTAGCCACAAGAGAAGATGGGATTGGCAAATAGACATATCATAAAGAAACATCTAAATTGAAATACACAGGAAAAAAAACAAAAGAGCATAACAGAAGTGTGGAATGAAGTAAAAAGGCTAACAAATTTGTACTTGAGTCTCACAAGGAAAAGAAAGATAAAATGTAACATAAGCAATATTTTAAGAGAAAACCGCCCCAAATAATCCAAAAGTAATGAGACAGTAAGCCACACATACGCAAAGCTCTGTAAATTTTTTAAAACATGATGAAATGTAAATTATAATATATAATATATAAATACATATAATACAAAATATATAATATATTAATATATAATAACATATACAATATATAATATATATATACACATACACACACACACACATATGTATATATAGTAGGAATGCTAAAAACCAAAGACAAAGAAAAAAATCTTAAAAGGAACTAGGGCAAAAAGGCATGTCACTTTCAAGTAGCAATAATAAGCCTGACATCTAACTTTTCAACAGAAACCACGAAAACCATAAGATATGATACAAACTCTACAACATGCTAAAAAATAAATGTCAACCTAGAATTTTATGCCTAGTGAAAATATACTTCGAAATCAAAGCAAAATAAAAATGTTTTCCGACAGAGAAACTGTCACTAATGGAGAAATCCCTACTGAAATCTGAATATGATAGAAGGACTGAGGAGCAACCAGGGAGGGTGAGTATGTGTGTAATTACAGAGACTATTGATCTGTAAAAACAACAGAGAGTAACTTGTGAGTTGAAATGCATATCTAAACAAATTGCATTACGGAACTAAAATACAGGATGAAATAATGCAAAGAGCAGAAGGGAGATAAACAGAAATGTTAAAATATTAAAATCTTAAAAATGTTCTAAGCTCTGAAATAGAGAAAATACTAAAAGTAGAATTCATAATAAACTTAAGTAAAAAGTACATGTTATAACATCTTTAATGCTTGAAAAGAACAGTTGAAATAATAGAAGGAAACCATAGAAGGAAAAATAAAATGGATGAATCTTGAAGAAAAAATGGCATATGAAAAAGTTCAAAAAGAAAGTAGTGAATAGATAATCACAAGTATATCAGTAATTATATTAATACAGATGAAATACTCTAAGTGTCAAGATTGTCAAAGTCAAAAATAAAGGAAGTTCTGCTCTATGCTGCAAATAAAAGACACACATTAAACACGAGGATAGAGCAAGCATGCAATGAAATACAAAGAAGTATTCCAAGCAAATATTAACCAAGAGAAACCTGAAATAACTATGTTAGTATCTAAAAAAAAAGGAATACTACTAGAAATAAAGGGTGTTAATTCATAACGGTGGAGAGAAAAATATCAGAATTATATCTGTTTGAATCCAGTAACACAGCTTTAATTTATGTTCACTATGAATTGACAGAACTCAAAGAACTAGACAAATTTACAATGTAGGAAGAACTTTTCAAAACCTCTTTCAAAAGCTTGGACAAAAAGAGGTAGATAAAATCAGTAAGGATATGGATGACTAGAACAGCAACAAAAATGAACAGAGTTGACCTGATTGACATGTATGGAAGACCACACTTCCCTCAACAAGGAGAGGATTTAAGTTATTTTCACTTGCTTATGGGACAGTTATTGAAATTGGTGATATGCTGGGTCACAGAGCAAGCTGCAATGGATTTAAAATGCTTGAAATTATTCAGAATATATTCTTTGATCACAGTGAATTAAGGTTGCCATCAAAAGCAAAAGATACATAACCCCCATTGTTTTGAGACTAATACTTCAGTCAAAGGAATCACAATTGGAATTAGAAAATACTTTGACTAAATCATGATAAGTAGGACATTTCAAAGCATATGGAATGCTTTTAAAATCATGCCCAGAGAGAAATGCATAGCTTTAAACATATATATTGAGAAACAGTTAAGTCTTAAAATCAATAATCATGTTTCTTATCTCAAGTAGCTAGAAAAACAGCAAATTAACCCTCCCCCCAAATTATGAAGATCAGGACAAAAAATTATACATAAAACCATCAATGTCAAAAGTTGGTTCTTTGGAAATTAATAAAAGTTATGAAATAATGAAAACTGATTAAGAAAAATAGGGGCACCTGGGTGGCTCAGTGGGTTAAAGCCTCTGCCTTCGGCTCAGGTCATGATCCCAGGGTCCTGGGATCAAGCCCTGCATCAGGCTCTCTGCTGGGCAGAGAGCCTCCCTTGCCCCCTCTCTTTGCCTGCCTCTCTGCCTGCTTGTGATCTCTGTCAAATAAATAAAATCTTAAAAAAAAAAAAAAGAAAGAAAGAAAAGAAAAATAGAGAAAAATTATCAGTATCAGTAATGACAGAGAGTGTATTATGGTAAGTTTAGAGTATGAAAAAGAAATAACAGAATATTATGAGCAACTTCCTGCCAGTAAGTCTGACAATTTAGATGAAATTGAAATGTCCATCAACACACATATACACAGTCATAAATATAACTTTTAATATTTTTATGGGGAAAGGGATTCATGAAGGCAAATGTGACAGAGGCTCACAAAAGGCATATGTAGCCCAATTCCCACAAAAACCCTAAGGGTCCTATTGCTAAAATGAAAAGGGGAACTATAAATTCTGGGGACAACTGGTGGTTTCGGTACCAATCTACATCTGTTGTTGCTAATAACCATAAATGTTCTTCTTTATACATTAGAACACACTCTCCAGCTCCCCCTAAAAAATCAGATCAAATTTCCACCCAGTGACCTCATACAGCTCAACATGCAGGGATTCTCAGTCCGTATGTGATGCCTCTCTGATTAAGGGACAGAGAAACTAACAGACAAACTACCACCTCCCGTACTTAATAGGTAAAGGCAGAATAGGAATAAAATAGACCTAGGGAAATGAAATGAACAGAACAAAACAAAAAAAACCCTCACTCTTGGAAGAAAAGGAAACAGAACCTTTAATGGTGAAATCTGTTAAACAGGAAAGGCAAAGACTCCCCACCCCACCCCGCGCGCCTGGAGAGAACTAATCTCTTGGTAAAACAGAGATTCTGCTCTCCAAAAGGCACCTCCTTGTTCTCTATGGCTGATGGGTTTGGCCCTTACTCTATTGATCATTCTCCATGGTTTTCTCCGCTTTCTGCTGAGCTGGGTTTGGGTACCCAGGACTGGCCACGGACAGTAAGCTTCCGGCTTCCTCATCCATGTACTGGGAGCAATCACTGTGACCAGTAGCTCTGGGACTGTGGGAAGAGAACGGGTGAACAGAGTCCTTCACTTCTGTATTGACTCTAAACCAGTTTCTATCACCAGTAAACATCACCTTGATTTTCTCAACTGGATTCACAGATTTCCTAATTGTGCTGGCTTTCACTCCACTAGGCTCTCACTCTCTTAATTTCTGAATCGTTTTTACTGTTAAAGCCAACCTTTCCAACTTTGTACTGAAACCGGAAAGTTACCTCCATACACATCATTTTTCGACATTTTAACGGAATTTGAGAAGGGATGCAAAATTCAGGAAATCAACAGTTACCGCTCTTAAACCTCATTTTGTTAGGTTGGCTTTCCCTGCAGCATGTGTCTGACTTTATATCTGTGTCCTGTCGTTCTTTTTTGCATAGTTATTACGGATTTCTTAAAGGAGTTACAACTTTAATTGGGATGATAGGAGGACTAACTTCTTCTACTCTGTGTGGCGTGATCCTTAATCAGGTAAGAAAGCTCCAGGCATGGGTGGTTGCTTTTCTAATATTACTTATACAGAGAAAGAAAGCAATATATACACAAACAATTGTAGATGTGACATCAGCAGGAGATGAGTAATGAGATATTCGCTCACATTAACCTTAGTCAGATCAGGCATCCCTCCAAATCTATAGATAATGTAATTTCTTTCTCATTGGATATCAAGTAGTTGTGCTGGGAACATTTTAGTCATTGGTCTTGGGAACAGAAATGAACCTCTGTGATTTTTAATAATGAGCGTGTGGCTTGATCCAAACAGGAATTTGGCTAGGTGAATGGTAACATAAGTAACAAGATACAGTTTTGTTAGAAAAGGAATGAAAAATCAGGAGCAAATAGAATTAGAGATCAAAAGAAAACCTTCTCTAAAGGAGCACTGGGTATGGTGCATAAACAATGAATCTTGGAACATTGAAAAAATAAAATAAAATTTAAAAAAATAAATAAAATAGGGACGCCTGGGTGGCTCAGTTGGTTAAGCAGCTGCCTTCGGCTCAGGTCATGATCCCAGTGTCCTGGGATCGAGTCCCACATCGGGCTCCTTGCTCAGCAGGGAGCCTGCTTCTCCCTCTGCCTCTGCCTGCCACTCTGTCTGCCTGTGCTTGCTCTCTCTCCCTCTCTCTCTCTCTGACAAATAAATAAATAAAATCTTTTAAAAATAAATAAATAAATAAATAAAACGTAAGCAAAGGCAAAGTAAATAAATAAATAAATAAATAAATAAAAGCCAACTTGTGTTTCAACAAGTGTCCTGGACAAGATTACCTGAAATCCTCCTCTTAAGGATATTAAAATGCCCTAACAAATTGAAACAATAATTTTCAGTGCATAACTGATCTTGAAAAAGATGTAAAAGAATATTTCAGAGATGAAAAATGAAGGAAGAGCTTGATCCCAGAGAGGTCAAAGCCCGATGAAGCCCTGTGCTATTCCGGGTGCAATGACCCTTGCTGGGCGATCTGTCGCTTCAGCTGTGATGAACAAACCAAGAATAAGAGATAATATCCCCAAACCACTCATAAGACAAAAACACAAAAAAGTCAGATTGGAAATGCTGGCAAAAATCTGTAATCACAAAGGACTATACCGTCACTTCATAGTACCATGTAGCTTACAGGCAAACTTGGTTTATTTGGAGGAAAAGCTATGAGCTGAGAAGTAGCAATATCTACAGAATTCTTCCACATGCTCCTTATCCCATGACTTGGCCAAGGAGAGATGGTTTGCATTCACCACAGCCAAATTTCCTAAAGAAGGGCACCTGCCACCATCATGTTCTATGTACTTATGGTCTCGGAAAGGCAGGAAAGTCACTATAACCATGGAATCCCCCTGGTCAGAGAAGTGGTCTCAACAGAAAAGCACGGTTCCAAGAGACCAGGCTGATTTCTCCTCCTCAGCATAGGGCCCACTCAGCTTGTTCTTCCATTTAATTCACTTGGATGTGCTGAATGAACTTCCAAAAGTTGTGAGATGAGCTAACTTCTCTGCTGACTTCCACAAGGTGGGAGGAAGTATACCTCCAGATGGTCCAAAATTATCTCTGCCCAGTAAGGAAATTTGTCTGTCTCAGCCTCAGCTTCAAAGGGAGAGGAAAAACCAAATAAAGACTCTTCTGGACATCTGGAACAATGAACCAATTTTCACAAAGGTTTGAGGCCCAAATTCAAACTCTATTTCCAATGCTGTAAGCCCAGCATTGAATTTCGAGTAGTTCGCAGAGGTCTAGTAGAAGCAAGTAAGATTTTTCTGGAGAAACTCACCCTAAATTCATGCTCTAGGGTTTTCTCAAGCATTAAGGTTTAGTGAGAATGATTTTACAGTCCATCAAATATCAACAAACACAAGAAGAAATAAGGTGTCATGTGAGAGAAGAATAAAAGAACCTTAGCATCAGATCCTCAGAGTTATTGGAAATCTATGCAGATGTTTAAAGCCAAAAAGAGGATTGCAAATATAAATAAAAGGCATAAGATCTGACAAAGAACTAAATCTAACCTCTGGCAATTAAAAATAGAAAAATCGAAATAAAAAATTTCATACGAAATACAGCTAACAAGAGAATTAGTGAAGTTTCTGATTCCGCTGATAAGAGTAAGTAATTTGAGCCAATTCTCTTAGTAAAAGCAATTTACAAGGTTGGAAAAATGTTGAGAGTCTTCTGCGAAGCTTCAGAGAACCAGAGAGACGAAAAACTTTTAATACGCAAGATGTAGGAGAAGCCAGGAACTAAAAGAATTAGGCAAAAGACTACGAGGTATTTTCCACTGGGCTGAGGAAAGCAGATTTTTTGGACCTGCAGCTTTTGAGGACCTGCCAAGCACAAGGACCCTGATACATTAACTCTTGTTTTAGCCTGAGACCTTCCAAGAGCTGCATGGAAGGAGTAAAGGTGAAGAGAAATACACCAGTCCTCACACGGCCTGCTCTGAGTCATTTGGGCAGACCGGAACATAGCCAACCTGACTTTAAAGGGCTTCAGACTTACCAGTGTCCCAGAGGAGTCTGAGGAAGCCATCAAAAACAGCACTTTTGGGCAAAGGCATCACCAACCCGACTGTCCCTAGAAATAGTTTTTTTTAAGTGCAATCTCCTGCACACAACAAAAGATAACCAGGCACGTGAAAGAGACACAGCAAAAGCAGGGAAAAATGGCAGAACAAAGAGCAAACAACAGTGGCAGGAGAACGGGGACCCCAAAGACAACTGGTACCACCAGCTCGCGTACACTGCACAGGAAAGGATAAGTGAAGCTTGGAAGTTTCTGTAGGAGGCTCCGACTACAGGAAGTCACATAGAATATGTGAGGAAAAAAGGACTAAAACTGAAGTTTAAAAATGGAAAACTGTACAAGCAAAATTAGGAATTCACTGGATGAATTAGACAGACACAGCAGCACTGCTCACAGCCCCAAACCCCAGCAGCCAAAACTATGGAGGTCTTTCTTTCTCAGCTGGTAGATCCATCTCCAGTCAGCCGACGGGCTAACTGGGGAGAGCCCGTCTTCTAAGCACTCCCAGTGGCTAAGGCAGAGGAGAGGTGCCTGGGAGGCTCATTTTTTTTGGAGACGTAGATTAAAAGCTAAGAACATTAAGAACAACTCTATGCTAAAAATCTGGGAAAACTGGATATATATATTCATTTATGTATAAATGAACATATATATGAATATACAAATATATTCATATTCCTAAAAATATATTTGGTGTGTATTCAAATCTCAACTCCACTACTTATGAGGTATGAGACCCCAGAAACATTTCTCTAAGTCCTGGTGTCTACAGCTATAAATGGCAAAAATGACACAGAAACCTCATGGGGCTTAGGGGCTTACCAAATCAGATCATGGCTGCAAGCCAGACGCTCATGTATTCAACCCATAACAGAAATTAATATTGTTATTTGCATACCCTTTTAAGTGTTGTCTATCTAACACAATTGGTCAAGAAAAGTAAGTTACAGGTATATACATTGTAAATGCAGAAGAACAAAGTTACATTATGTACAGAGAACAGACTCTCGGGGGTGGGTAGGGGAATCAAAGTTAGATATTAGATCATATAAATATCTAAACCACAGTATCAACTAATATTATAAAATACCTATGGGGGAAAAACACTGAAAATTGTGGAAACTCCATATGAAGAAAACTGCACACGTTTTAAAGCAACACAGTAAAACTATATGAAGAGGGAGGCATATCAAGTTTTTATGCTGGAGTTCAGGTCCAAATATATATTTACAATGAATTCTATTAACTTAAAACTATTGAAAACTTTATTATTTATCATTAAATTTCTGGGTACATCTTGGTCCTTTTCTTCACTTTCTGTTTGCCAATGACCTGTCAAGCTTCGCATGTTTTAATTAGAGAAATCGCTATAATTAAATACATTTAATGTCTTAGCTGAAGGAAACATATTGTTTTACTTTTTCAAAGTCTACTCTTAATTACATTTTATTTTTCCAATTTTAATTTTCTTTTTGAAAGAGGGAGCAAGTAGGAGTGGAGAGGGGCAGAGGGAGAGAGAGAGAGAGAATCTTAAGCAGGCTCCACACCCAGCATGGAGCCATTTGTGGGGCTTGATCTCACAACCCTGAGATCATGACCTGAGCAGAAATCAAGAGTCAGACTAAGTTTGACTGAGCCACCCAGGCACCTCTACTCTTAATTATATTTTAAATAAAACTGATGATGATTTGATCAAGTTCCAAAAAAATACATTCTGTATAATAAAGCTTCATTTCAAACCAGAGGAGATGGATTTATTTTTTTAAAAAACATAGTGGGAAACCCACTTGTAGAAAAATACAATTATATCTTATTTATATAAAAATACAAAAATACAATTATACTCTGACCCCAAAATTAATTCTAGATGGTAAAAAATGTAAGTGAAGAAAGGAAACAAAGAAGATAATAAAGTAAAACAAGACTTAGTAATTAGATAAACTTTGGGTTGGACATCCTTCAAAAGCTTGGTACCAGACACCTAAACCCAATCACGATGCATTATACATTTAACTACATAAAATTTAATCTGAGCTGATAAAAAAGGTAAAAAGCAAAATGGTAAACAAATCTCAAACATAATTAAAATTCAATGTCATCTTTGAATATAGATGCAAAATGAAATAAATCACCAGTGTATAGACTCTACCAGCCTATGACACCATGATTAACTAAGGCATTGTTTAGGAAAGTAAAAGTGACTCAATATTACAATTATTAATGAAACTGATCATACTGGAGGCTTAAAGAGAAAATGTTATATATAAGGAAAAGGTATTTGATAAATTTTATTCAAAAGCATTGATGGGTATTAACTACCAAGATATTCAGATTTATAGCTGCAAAAAGTGAAAAACAATTTAAATATAAAGAAATAAGTGATGTTTTACAAATTTTATAAATCTAAACTCTGGATTACTAATCAGTCATAAAGGTTATGATATAGCCAAGTATTTCTTGATATGCAAACATATTTATATTGCTAAATAAAAAACCAATGCATTTCTGGCTTCAGCACTATGTACATTATAATGTTATTTTTATAAGTGAAAAATTATATGTACATAGACATAAATCAAAAAGTACAAGGACAGGGTACCTGGGTGGCTTGGTTGGCTAGGCATCTGATTCTTGATTTCAGCTCAGGTCACGATGTCAGGGTCCTGGAATCAGAGCCCCATGTCTGGCTCTGAGCTCAATGAGGAGCTGGCTTGTCCCTCTCTCTCTGCTCCTCCCCCACCCATGTGTTCCCTCTCTCTCTCAAATACATCTTTTTACAAAATAGAAAGATAAATGATAGTTATCTTTGTAGAGTGAAATTATCAATTTTTTGCTCCTTATGAGTATGTTTTTCCATGTCTATTAAGTGACCTGTGTTGAACCTATACTATTTTTAATATTATACTAGAAGTGTTATAACATACCTCAAGCACATTAATTTATAATCACTTTGCACTATAATCCCTCAGGATTCAGAATCTGCCTGGTTTAAAATTTTCTTCCTGATGGCAGTCATTAACGTTATATGCCTACTTTTTTGTCTCATATTTGGAAAAGCAGAAATTCAGGACTGGGCTGAAGATAGACAAGAACACACACGCCTCTGAAGGTAAGCAGTGATCAGCTTGAGGTCAGATTTTGAAACTGCGGGTGAAGGATAGGGTGGGGTTGAGGGTGACAGGGTGCTAAGGTGGGGAAAAGTTCAGACTTGGGGGAAGAAGGGGACCAGGTCAAGTCTAAAACTCTCTGGTGTCCTGATGGACATTCAGCCCCGAGGAGGTGCCGCTCTGGGATTCTGGGGAGAGAGTGGGTCCAGGACATAGAAATTTGGGAGTCATTAAGGGTGAGGAGGACAAGGGGACGCTTTTGAGGGGATGGGAAGGACGCTTGATGGAGCAGGAAGAACGTTTGAAGAAATGTGCTGGCTCAGAAAAGTGAAAAAGGTGCGCCTGAGCACCCCTGGCAAACACTACCAAGGGAGCAAACTGCATGAGGTCTGAGAATCTACCCATGGATATGACAGGAATGAATAATGGAATAACGGAAACAAAGGGTCCAATAAAGCTCGAAAGAGAATCCAGTATTGTGCCTTCCTTCCTGAAACTCTGTCTGTGGTAAATAAAGAGTAGATATGTCTCTTTGTAGGATTATCTCAGCTAATACAGAAATAAGAATTGGTCTTGGTAGAATATCCTCAGTTTGCAAACTCCAGGGAATGAAGGGATCCAGGATTTGCGAACAGCTGTTGAGCTGTTAACATCACAGAGAGAGATTCAGACATATTGTGTACATCCTGATGAAAGAACACGCCACCACCAAGGTCTTTCTGTGAACACCAACTGGGTACAATCAAGCCTGTAAAGACAGCTACTGTTTTGTAAGAAAGACACCACAGAATGCAGGAGGACATGAACTAAATCCTCGGGACAGGGGGGCGCGTGCGTGGTTCAGATGGTTAAGCACCTGCCTTCACGTCAGGAAATGTTCTCAAATTCTTTGTGTGTGTGCTGGTTCCAGATTCTCTGGCACAGAAGTTCACCTCTAAATTCTACCTTTCTGAGTCATTTCACTTAATACATGTTTCTTACAAATATTTCACCCACTCTGAGAGCTGCCTCTTTTGCAGGGTTTAAGCCAACAGCTTAAACTTTTGTTACCCTTACAGACAGCATTTTCTGTCATTTGATTTTCTGTCCCCTTCAAGCAGTGTCCTCTGTATCTCTGTGGTCCTCCCACGCCTGCCCCCCGGCCAGCCGCTAGTAACTCTGGTCTGTGGTATATTTGAAATGCTGGTTATGTTTCTAGGCTCTGGTGAAGTCTTTGAAAATGCCTCCATTTTTCATCAGCAGGCACTGGTGAACACACCGGACTGTTCTAGTAACTTCTCTCCCGCTGGGACCCAGTCGGCCTCACTTTGTAATTCCCCACACAGCCCCCGGGGGCAATTTCCTGTCTCTTGCTTACCTTGGTGGCCTTTCAGGGAGCGGGGTCGCTCGGGAGGCGTCTCCTTTGGCCTCCCACTCTGAGTCTGGGTACACTGAGAGGAGAATGGAAGGTTTCTTCGACAACCTGCGTTTTTAAAAGCTTGCAGCATCGCGGTGGGTCCCGGGCCCAGGCAGACACGTTGTTCCGGTTGGTCTATCTCAGCCGCGCATCTTGATTGGAGAAGCTGCGGGGCAAACCGGAAAGGGCGGAGTCTTAGTCACGCGTCTCCCCCCTCCAGCCCAGAGCGCATGCGACCAAAGGGCCTGGGCCGCTGAATGGCAGGCGTTGGGGGGGTGTCCCATGCGCGCTAAGCCCCGCAGCCCTCGCTCGGACCCGAGTCCCTCTCCAGCTAACACCCCAGGAGGGAGCCGAGCTCAGGAGTCCGGCAGGCAGCTGTGAGTTGACTGTCACCTTCTCTTTGGGTCCTTGTCTCGAAATTAGCAAATAGCCCTTGTAGGTTCTGGCGTGAGGTGGTTCCCTGGTTTTCCTTGTTTCCTCTGTTGAAGTTGCCTTTTGAGGGGGTTGGGGAATGCGCACCGGAAGACAGCACAGGACTTTAGATACTGTGGGTACTGCGGGGTGAGCCTTGTCCCGTAGTCTACATAACAAAAAACGGGGCTAGAGAGTTTGCCCATGAAAAGGCAGAGTTCTGTGCGCCTGGAATCTTCTAAAGTTTAGCATGTTATATGTTGTCGATATGCACGGATTTTATTGGACCAGTAGATTGCGGTGAATGTATTGGGGTCTGTAAACAGAAGTAGGAGGTACAGTTCTGCAGCTGTCTCTGAAGCTGGGGACAAAGTGAAGCCACTGGAGGGACAGAAAAGGCTCCCCTCCCCAGGGCACCTATGGGTGAACTCGGTCCTGTGGCTTCTCCCTCTGACACTGCCAGCCACCTGGCATGTCGCCCAGCAGGATACCAAGGACTGTTGGCAGAGTTTAAGCTCCTGCAAGCTTTTTACTTTGACTTTTTTTTTTTATTCCAGTAGAATTAGCATCGAGGTTGTATTAGTTTCAGGTGTACAAAGGGTGATTGCAGACTTCTCTGTATTACTCCCACAAGCTTCGGAAATCGCTGTGCAACCAATTAGGGCAGCCCCCGGGCCTTGCCACCATCCAGGAGTCCGAGCTCACACAGAGGGGAAAGCAGGGAAAGAAGAATTCCTGGTGATTCATGGTTTCTTTACCGTCTTTACTTCATCTACAGATGTTTAGTGGACAGCTAAAGTAGGGATTTGGATTTGTTTCCCAAGCCAGTGAGTTTTAACCACGTCATTTTTTAAAAAAATACTTCACATTTATTCCTCTGACTTAAAATACCAACTTTTGGTAAAATAAACTTCTATGTATTTATATGTGTTTCTGGGCTTAATATATAGTTTAAGATCTGTTGGTACCGGGACCTGTTGTGCAATATATTGATGGGTCTAAATTTTTAATATGTGTAAATACCAGACCAATCAAACATTTTTCATTTGTATTTTTGAAGATGATATTGTGTAATATCAGCTGTTTATTCTCCTGGGAAAGTTTATAATCATTGGGCCATTTTAATAAAGATTGAACTGCAGTATTTAAATGGCACCAAATTGCAATTTAATTGCATTAGACTGCACTAAATCTGTTTGGGAGAAACTAAGCTCCCTGTACCAGCACATTCTCCCTTAAGAGTACATAGCGAGACCCCCCGCCATGATGAATATGGGTTCAGTTTTTGAGTCCAGTGCTGCACTTTGCTACCTGTACTTAGTATACATTTCTTAACAAAATTTAATTTATATTTCCTGAATGTGTTTTTTATTTATTGTAATTTCTTACATATTTGGGCTGGGATGTAGGGAAGGTATTGTTTGAATATAGTTATTTTTTAACTGAAAATTTTAACCTGTAGCTATGCTATCTCCTTCGGATGGTTTGGGAGTTAACTCTCTAGTTTCTAGGTAGATAATAATGTCATTTTTTGCAAATAATAATAATAATTTTCTTTCCTCCCTTTTGATATTTTATATTCCCCCCCCTTCTGGACTCATGGCCCTTAGAATTTCCAGAACAAATTTAAATAATGGGTTAATGTTAGTATTCCTTTAATCTTTATGCCTTTAAATGCATATACTCTAGTTTTATTCTTTTTTTGATATTTTATTTATTTATTTGAGAGAGAGAGTGAGCATGAGCAGGAGGAGGGGCAGAGGGAGCAGGAGAAGCAGGCTCCACACTGAGTAGGGAGCCCAACGTGGGGCTCGATCCCAGGTCCATGAGATCATGACTTGAGCCGAAGGCAGACACTTAACTGACTGAGCCACCCACGTGCCCCTTCTAGTTTTACTCTAAGAAGTCAGTTGTTTATTTTTATCTATATAATTTTTTATGAAGAATAATTGACATACAATGTTGTATTTTAGGTATAAAACGTATAATTCAAAAAAAAATGTAGTGACTTGATATATATTTACATTACAAAATGGTCACGGCATAGTTGCGATCTGTCTCCATACAAAATTGTTACAATATTATTCTTATATTCCCTATACAGTACATTATATCCCTCTGTCTTATTTATTTTATAACTGGAAGATCATCCCTCTGAATTCCATTTACCTGTTTCGTCCATCCCTCCACCCTCCTTCCCTCTGGCAACCATCACTTGTTCTCCGTATCTCTGAATCTGGTTCTGTTTTGTGTTGTTGGTTGGCTTATTTTGTTTTTCCGATTCCACAAATATGTGAAATCATTTGGTGTTTGTCTTTCTTAGCCTGACTTAATTTCATTTAGTGTCTAGCTCCGTCCCCATTGTTACAAATGACAAGATTTCATTCTTTTTTATAGCTGATTAATATCCTGTTGTATAAATATGCCATATCTTCTTTATCCATTTGTTTATCAATGGACATTTGGGCTGCCTCCATATCTTGGCTGTTGTAAATAATGCTACAAATCATAAGGATGCATGTGTCTTTTTGAATTGGTGTTTTCATTTTCTTCAGGTAAATACCTCAAAATAGAATTGCTGGAGTCTGTGATAGTTCTATTTTTTGTTTGCTTGTCTGTTTATTTATTTTGTTTTATTTGTTTGTTTAGCATGGACCCCAGCATGGGGCCTGAACTCATGACTCAGAGATCAAGACCTGAGCTGAGATTAAGAGTCAGATGCCAACTAACTGAGTCACCCAGGCGCCCCTATGATAGTTCTGTTTTAATTTTTTGAGGGACCGCTGTACTGTTTTCGTAGCTGTACTGTTTTCGTAGCTGTACTGTTTTCGTAGAGACTGCGCCAATTTGCATTTCCACCGACAATGCATGAGGCTTTTTTCCCATCCACATTCTTTTCAGTATCTGTTGTCTCTTATCTTTTTGATCATAGCCATTCTGACAGTTATGTGGTAATACCTCGTTGTAGTTTTGTTTTGCATTTCCCTAATGAGCAGTGATGTTGAACATCTTTTCATGTGTCTCCTGGCCATCTGGATGTCTTTAGAGAAATGTCTGTTCAGGTCCTCTGCCTGTTTTTTAATTGGATTGCTAGTTTTTTAAAAAACATATTGCATTGTATGAGTTCTTCATGTATTTTGGGTGTTTACTTCTTATCAGATACGTCATTTGTGAATATCTTCTACTCAGTAGG